AAAGCACGGCTCGTTATAGCTTACATCTGATTTAAAATTTCAGGTAAGTACGGTAGGTGAAGAGATAGTATACAATCCCCGGCTCACCAAGGATCTGGTAATTTCTCGAGTAACTAAAACCGCTTACCCGTAAATGCCATTTCGAGCACAAAATTAGGCCAATGTTCGATTGACAATTGTAGATAAGTGATTCTGGATATCATTTTTGTTACTAAATCACGCGTGGTTTGTTTTTGTTTTTGTTTTTGTTTTGCAGGAAGAATTCAAGAAAATCATGGAAAGTAAGTACTTATAACCAAGAACTTTAATATGGTGTAAACTGATAGGACTCTGCTATAACACCTGCACTGTTTCTCTCTTGCAGATTTGAACCTGCCTTATCCAAAGATGATGGACTTAGCAGTTCCAGCAAACCTGGTTTGTGGCTTGCAAGATCCAACTTCTTGACTCTGTCTAATCTGTGATTCTTTGTGTATAATTGGCCTTTCTTACTATTAAAAACATTCAAAAAGAAGAAAGATCTGTAAAAACTATAGGCCAAAAGGAGTGAATTCGACGAACAAAAATAAAAATACATGAACTAATGACATTATCTACTGCTTGTTTCTCTTTTCAATGGAATGATTTGTTCTTAGACTGTTCTACAAACAATTTACTCTTTTTAGCATGAATGCAAAGAAAATAGAATGAAGAACAAGCATCAGAATCCAAATTTTCCATTCCCTCGACTAAAACCAACATGTATTATATGTACAACATGTAATCATAGCCAGTGTTCATTTCACATAAATTTGAGTTTAAACTCTTCAACTCCAGAGATACTAAACAAGCTTATAACTCCCCTAATTGAACATCTTGGGCTGTTAGTGGAACATAATCCCCAAGATACACTTCCAGATGATCAGACAAGGAGGACTTGTCAATATTTTGATGGTGATATGATTTGCAGACGAAGTAGATGATTGTTTGAGCAACAAGCCCAAAGAGGAACACCTTGAACAGCAACAAGAAACAAAGAACTCCAAGAACAATTCTGAATCCATAATGATTAGAGCTACCAAGCACTACCACTGTCTGAAAAACCAATTGACTCGCTAGAAACAGCACAGTAAAAGTTAAGAAAACAGCACAACAAAGCACCAGCTTCCCCTTAATCAGTTCCTTGCTCTTCAACATTGCTTGAATCCCATAAACATCCTCCAAAACTGATACAACGCATGCTAGATGCCACACTACGCTTATGTAAACAAACCCTAGAACATATGATACCGAAATCCCAGCAATGATGAGAATCCCAATCCCACCGAATCCAAAAATTGCAGCCCAAAGGAGAATCAAAACACCAAAAGCAATGTTGTAAACCAAAACGATAACAAAATTCCATACGAACGTAACCATCAGCCTTCTCCAAACCTTAGGAACGACGCTAATAATCTTCCTGAAGGTGATTTCCTTACCGGTGTAAACACAAGCGATGGTGTAAACGACGGCCGCCGTGGAAAGTAGAGTGAGAACAAGAAAGAAAGTGAAATACGCAGCTTTGAAGAGCCAGAAAGAGATCCACTCCGACGTGATCATATCGGAAAGCTTCGTGTAATTCGGAGAATTCTTGGGGATTGAGTTGAGAGAGTCTTCGTTTTTCAAGATCTTGAAGAACAGAAGCTCGGATACCTGGATGTGAGCTACAAAGACGACGGAAAGCGGCAAGATTAGGGTTAGGGTAATCTTGCTGAAGATCTTCCTCCATGAGAAAACAAGATTGAAGGATTCTGTGAAGATGCCGAAGAAGCCGAGAAATTGAAGATCTTCCTGCTCTCGATCCATCTCTCCGTGGGAGCAAAAATCAAAATGAGTGACCGACGGCGAGATATGAAGTCTTAACAACCGCTATTAATTAACAAAGAAGCGACTACTTATTGACTCTTAATTTTCCGAGCTGTCAATTTTAAGTTTTGTCTGATTTCTAATATTACACGTCATCTAATTATATATTTTTTAAATAATAATAATAATAAAAAATTCCAAGGCTTATAATTACAATTTTCTTAAAATAAACAAGTCCCCGCGTTCCGAATTCTGATCCATTTCGCCTCGGGTTTTGTTTCTAAATAAGAGAGAAAATGAGCCAGGAAGATAAATCTGCTGCCGTCGGTGTCGTCGTTCACCACCATCACGAACCCAATCCCGGCCACCCTCACTACGGAACCTTTCAAGGCGTCGCTAACTATCCTCCTGTCGGATTCCCCCAGCCTACTCGCCCGCCTGGTGTCTCCGACTTCGACGATCGTTCTCAACCTCAGAACTATGCTCATGGCTATCAAACTGTCACCGGTAACCTCTTCGTCCTCAATTTTTCTCACCTGTTAATCTATTGTTAGTTGTTTCTTTTGTTTCTTGTGCGATTTGATCGATCTTGCTTTTCCGTTGACTTGAACTACTGATCTCGGTTAAATGCCTTGCGTTGAACTCCAGTAAAGTTGATCTTATCACTTGAATAGCTTAGTTCTGTCCGGAATCTAAAAATTATGATCTACTGGAAAATTTTGTGCCAAGCATGGATGAATGATCCGTAGTTGTCATATATTTTGTTATCTGTATTTCAGTTGGAGTTCAACCTTCAGCTTTCTAATTCCTACCAGTACTAGCAGTTTGTTAAGATTAGATCCTGTATTTTCTTGTTCTTTGAGTGTGCTTTGTATTGGTGTCTGCTTGGAAGTTTATAGTTCAGAATTGAATAATAAGTAGAGTAGGAAGCCACTTTTAACTCATGATGATGATTATTAACGATCACAATACTATACTATAGTTTATCAGTGTTATTGAATTTGAAGCTTTTTGTTATGACGAAATCTCGACAAAAAGTGTGGTTGGATTCTTACTTAATAGACACGTGATTCTCTTTTGATTTTTGAAATACTTGATTTTAGCATTCTGAAATTCGCATGCCTTCTTTCCTTTTTGCATCTCGAGAAGAATATAGGTGAAAAGAATGTTGTGGTTTTATACATTTGAGTGACAAGATTTTTGTCATGTGCTTGTTCGTCATTATAGTTGCATTAACACTTTGTCTCTCTCTCTCTCTCTGAGATTTGATTTTGCATTATCATATTTTGTGTAGTTTCGTTGCATTGCTATAATTTTGTGTAACTTTTTCTGGAATATATACCCTTGGATTCGTTTAATCATCATTTCAATGATTGAAGTAGTAGCTCAATTTTTTAAAATTTGTTTTTGAATTCTTTTCCAGGATATGCTATTGTCGAAGGAAGACCAGTGAGAGAGCCTCGCCTTCCTTGCTGTGGTATTGGCTATGGGTGGTTCCTGTAAGTTCTCATAATTGTTGGACTTTATCATCATTTACGACAATTACAGTAGCATTATCATCATAAACAAGCCAGATGATATCTTGTGTCCACTATAAGCATTTCAAACTTTCAGTGGTTACATGGTTGGTAAGTTATCAGTTCAGAAGAAGATTAAAGTGCTACAGCTTCCATCTAATGAATGAAAACCAATCAGGTTGTAGTTCGGAATGATAGAATTACTCGTTGTGTCCTGCCTACCCTATATCTTTTGCCCAGAATTTTGTGTTTATTTATGAGTTGACTGATCAAATAGATTACGAACCATGTTCTTCAGGTTTATTATTGGCTTCATCCTTCCTGCTACATGGTACATTGGGGCAATTCTTATACTATGTGGCAGGGTGCACTATCGTGAGAAACCTGGATATGTTGCATGCTCAATTGCTGTGAGTAACTTTGATTCTTAGTTTTTTTGGACCTCTTCAGCTTCATGATGATGTTCTTATATCATATCTTCAATATAGTTCTGCAATTCTATTTCCTCATAAGAAGTGATTTTTCTGTTATACTTTTTTGCAACTTGCTTAAAGATGTATTGAGTTGAGTTAGGTTGGGTAAGAGGCCTTCGGTAGTGGGTGATTGTAATTTGTAAATAACTAGAACATTTCATTCTTTTAGTTTTAGTATCTTGAGTTCCGTTTTGACAGTAGTTTTGTTTTTACTTTGTTTCTTTTTCTTTTTCAAACTAAACTGATTTATTACTTGTTATAAAGCATTAACTAGGAGTTTTAAATGTTCTTAAAAACTAAATTACAAAACAACAAAAATTGTTAGTAGCAAAGAAAGATTTCTAAAAATCTTAAGAAAACTTTTTTTTTTTTGTATATTTAATTGGTAAATATTTTTAATATTGCATCACTCATCTAACCAAGTTAGTCTCTAAGTTCAGGCAGGGCATGCTCGGTATCTCAGGGTTTGCGATTCGAATCTTGATAGATGAGCGCCTGGCATTATTTCATTTTAAATTCCTGCATGTATATAACTAATGTTTTTATTGTGCACGTGTGTGAATTTGTTCTTCCTCTAATATAAATTTCTGGATCCGCCATTGTTGAATGCTAATAATTTTACTTTGTATATCAGGCGGTTATTGCCACAGTTGCAATAATTTTCGGTGCAACAAAGGGAGCTGATGTCTGGTAACCAATCCTAAACTAAAAATATTGTATAGTTTGCAAACATGTATGAACAACAAAATCCATGATCTTTGACCTCCACATCTTCAAGATAGTTCCATTGAAATCTGAATTTGTGAGAGCCTATAGATACTGCTTAGCGGTTGTTTCCCATGTTGTGCCTAAGAAGTGTAGAATTCTGCAAAATAACGTTATTTGATTTTTCTATGATATGTCCAAATGTGTGTTATGACTATTCATCTGAAACTCCTCTGTCGGAATGTACCTATCCTTCTGTAAATATATTTCTTCTTTGTTGTTTGGATATGCATTTGAGCTTCAAAACAGAAAACTGTTCCTCGCTGATCAGATTGTGTTGCTCAGCCTGATGATCTTCTAAGGTAAAAGACTTCGTTGCTCACACCTCTATGCAGGCAAGGTAGAAAGATCTATTTATTGATGTGCATCTATTTTTTTAATTAATTGAAATTTAGGTAATTTATTCATTACCACGTTACTTTACTTTTTTGGGTTTTATAAAAATTATTTTGTGAAAAAATTAAGCTCCTGTACTGATAAGTTCTCTCTCTTCATAAATTATTTTCAAAATGTGTGTGAAACATTTTCAGACGAAGCATACCAGGATCAATTTTTGCAAGTTTAAAATGCTTTAGTGTTTTTTTTAGAGCACAACAATTGCAGAAATGATGAGTCAAGCCTCCAATATCAAGGGCGAAAATGCAGGTAAATTATTTTGGAGTTAAACTCACTTTGACAAAATGTCTTTTAGTTCTTATTATTATTGATCTTTTACTATTAAAACTTTTATTGAAAACAAATTGAATGTCTTTTATTCATTTGTTCGATTTTTTCATTATAATAATAATTTAAAAAAACGTAGGAATGAGGGGGATTGTTCTTTTTTAATACTTGATACTTATTTATTTTTTATTTTCATATTGCATTCAGTTCCTCCCTCCTTTGCTGCGGATTAGACTCGTTTCAGAGGTACTGTCTCAATAACGCCTACAAACTTATTTCCTTTTTGAAAATGACAAAAATTGGATACCAAAATACCCCTAAAACTAAGGCTAAATATTCTTTGATAACCTTGTAAGTAAATCCCAATTTTACCCTTAATATAATAAAAGAATTTCAACTAGTTTTTTTTTTAAATGGTTTTTTGGATTATTATTTTTTTGCTAATAATGAACTGATGTATTATTTGGTTATTTTAATATTAACATATCTTGACATGTGAGAATATCGTATTTTGTGTAATAAATACCAATAAAGTGTGTAAATTTGTAACAATTATTTTACGAAATAATTCAATTGAGAGTTTTTAAGAACCTGATTGTAGCATATGGGTTAAAGAAAGTAGGAATTGTGTATTCTTTTTTTCTAAAATTATTGTATATAACAAGTAAAAAATAAAATATTATATTAAAAATAGGCTAAATTAATAAAAATATTAAAAAATATTATTTAATCTAATAAAGTTTTAATGAAAATCTTTACATTTTCAAAAAAAGAAAAAAAAAAGAAAAAAAGAAGAACCCTTAAACTTGAAATAAATAAATAAAGATAATAATAAAAAATATCCTTAAATTTTTAAAAAATTCATCAATCCCCTTTAGAACTTAAAAAAATAAATACTTGTATTATTAATTTCACATTTAAAAGTACCCCTAACTATCAAAACTAATGCTCTTAAATGTTACACTAAGGTTTCAACTTACAAAAAAAAAAATGATGTATATAAATAAGCGAGAGATGTACGGACGAGAATATGTAGTAATAATAAAAAATTTAAATTCTGAATATTCATTAGAAGTGACGTAAGTCTCGTCAAAACGTGAGCACAATTGTTAAACACTGACACACAAATGAGCTAATAAAACCACATAAAATAAATAATTGATTAAAATAAGACAATATAGAAGAAAGCCTAATCAAATTAAGTTTGGATCAACAATATAATACTTCACACAATTTAACCAAGAATGGCTGGTGGACTATTTTGGCGACCAAAAATATTAGATATTCAAATTTTTGGTTTGAACTCCAAACTAGCTCAAGGATCAAATCTGTTGTAGTATCTAAACATAATTATTTTTATTTATTTCAAAAATATTTTTACTTATTTTTTAAAATTTACAATATTACTCTATTGATTTTTTATAGATGTTCTAAACTACCATAAATGTAGTCGTATGATCCGAAGAAATTATTCTGCAATAAATATTACTCTAGTGTATATCTCACTCTCACATAATATTAATTATTAATGTCTCCCAACCATCCTAGACAATCCTTTATATAAGCATAGAAACATTAATGTCATACATGAATCATATTCATGTATCAACTTGGGAGATGAACAAAAAATGGGCGGTGAACCAAATGAATACAAGTGGAATGCACTTACCAAAAGTATTCATGAAATCCAAGTGATTCATAAACCAAATCTTCTTAACAATTCTCAATAGGTCCAACGCTCTTCACGTGAAACACGAGTCGACCCAAAACATTTATATATATTAGAGTGGTTGAACGTTTAAACTACACTCATCAATATTAAATGCATTTTTCTGTTTATATTAGGACTATTGCAATATATTATTTATTTAACGTTACTTTCTTTGTTTCCCTCCTTTGTCTCCCTCCTTTGTCCTTCCCTAAATTTAATACAAACTAGAGGAATTAGAATAAGTATTCCCTAACATTAATGATTTTATGAGAATAAACTAATCTAAATACCTCAACTATAAATAATCCGTTTCTAACTTCATAAAAAACAAGGCGACTGTCAATGGAGTACTCATGGGTTGGGGCTGCCATTTCATTGATAGCGAGCTTACTAGCAATCTGGGTATCATGGGGTGTGTTGAACTGGGTTTGGATCAGGCCGAGGAAGCTCCAGAAGTGGCTCAAAAAACAAGGCCTCGCCGGAAACCCTTACCGGATTCTGCATGGGGACTTGAAGGAGAGGTCGGCGCTGTTCGAGGAGGCCAACTCCAAGCCTGTGGCCCTCTCCCATGATATTGGTCCAAGGGTGTTGCCCTCCATTTATACAACCATCCAAAACTACGGTCAGTCTTTGAACCCTCGTACGAGTAATAGATGTTTGTATAATTTCAAATTTGTAACAATTTGACGTGTGTGTGCAGGGAAGAGTTCATACATGTGGCTTGGGCCATACCCAAGAGTACACATCATGGATCCCGAGCAGCTTAAAGCTACTTTTTCTCAAATCAATGATATCCAAAAACCAGGTATGAACCCGCTCATTGACTATCTTTTAGAGGGAATTATATCGCATGAAGGCGAAAAATGGGTTAAACATAGAAAGATTATCAACCCTGCATTTCAATCGGATAAGTTGAAGGTATGTTTTTTCTACTTCTTTCTTCTTAAGGATGGTTGAAGAATGGTTTTAAACCGCTCAAGCCCACCGTCAGTAAATATTGTCTTCTCTGATTATTTTCTTTCTGGTTTTTCTTTAAGGTTTTTAAAACGCGTTTGCTAGGAAGAGGTTCTCTGATTTTTTTTCTTTCTGATTTTTCTTTAAGGTTTTTAAAACGTGTTTGCTAGGAAGAGGTTTCCACACCCTTATAAAAGGTGTTTCGTTCTCCTATCCAACCAGTGTAAGATCTCACAAAAACCCTACATTTCATTTGTTGTACTTGTTTCGTTTGACATGTACAGAGTATGGTACCAACGTTCGTGGATAGTAGCAAAGAGATATTGAGTGAATGGGAAAAAATAATCCCTGAAGAGGGGGGTTGTGAGTTGGATGTAATGCCATATCTACAAGACATGACATGTGATGCCATTTCTAGAACAGCATTTGGAAGTAGCTATAAGGCCGGACAAATGATCTTCCAACTTCTTAAACAACTTATAGATTTGGTGGTTAAAGTTGCCTTTGGAGTTTATATTCCTGGATGGAGGTAAATCTAAGTCGAAGTGTATGTTCAATTTTCCCATTATGGTTAGGGAGAGGTTTCACACCCTTAAATACTCTGTTCCCCCTTCAACCAATGTGAGATCTCACGATCCATCCTTCTTGGAGGTCTGAAACCATTTGTAACAACTCAAGCTCACTGCTTACATATATTGTCCTCTTTGTGCTTTTCCTTATGGGTTTTCACCTAAGGTTTTAAAATGCATATGCTAGCGAGAGGTTTTCACACCCATATAAGAAATGTTTCGTTCTCTTCCTTAACTAAAGTGAGTATAAAGCTATTAACAATGCTATAAATAATTCTTTTGCAGGTTTCTACCAACCAAGTCCAACAAAAAATTGAAAGAAATAAATGAAGAAATAAAAAGATTGGTTTTGGGTATTATAAACAAGAGGCAAAAGGCTATGAAGGAAGGTGAAGCTGTACAAAATGACTTATTGGGCATTCTCCTTGACTCCAATGCTAAAGAAATTGATGCACAAGGAAACAACAAAGATGTTGTAATGAGCATAGAAGATGTGATTAAAGAGTGCAAGATTTTCTACATTGGTGGCCAAGAAACCACAGCTCAACTATTAACTTGGACCATGATTTTGTTGAGCTTCCACACCGAGTGGCAAGAACGAGCTAGAGCTGAGGTTCGAGAAGTATTTGGTAACAACACTCCAAATTCAGATGGTTTAAATCGTCTAAAAGTGGTAAGAATCGTTATTTTTTCTTTTAGTTTTCTACCTCATAGTTTATATACTTAAACGAACAGAACCGGAAATATGACAGGTAAATATGATTTTACATGAAGTTCTAAGGCTATATCCACCTGCAAGTATGCTTCTTCGTGAAATTAAAAAAGAAACAAGTGTTGGAAAATTGAATGTACCAGCTGGAATAATGTTACTTGTACCAGTGATTCTTATCCATCGTGATCGTGAGATATGGGGTGAAGATGCGAATGAGTTTAACCCAGAAAGATTCAGCAATGGAGTTTCTAAAGCATCAAAGCTGCAGCCAGCTTTCTTTCCCTTTGGATGGAGTCCTCGGATATGCATGGGGCAAAACTTTGCGATTATGGAGGCCAAAGTAGCGATGTCCATGATTCTACAGCGTTTTTCATTTGAACTCTCTCCATCCTATGCTCGTGCTCCCACTGTGGTCATGTCTGTTGAGCCTCAACACGGAGCTCATATCATTCTATGCAAACTTAGTAAGACTTGATTATGCCTTTTCTAGCCTCAGTAGCTTACGAGTTATTTAAATAAGCCTTATGTTGAAGTTTTAAGTTTCTCTAACTCTTTGGAAAAATTAGTCAGTTCATCATCATTTTCTTTTAAGTTGCTAGTTGTCTCATGCTTATCCATTGTCTGTGGCCACTTATCAGATGTTTCAATCATGTTTGTCTAGAACGTGTTGTCCATAGTTGCATGTCTGTTCCAAACTCCTTTTACTTGTTTTCATGTTAGATAGGTCTTTACTATTTTTGTTGTGTCAATACAGTCGCGTGTAATTCATCACCAAAATCATATATGCACCAGGACTAAAATTCTCCAAAATATACTGTAGCATATGTGATTAGTTGTCAATTGTTTGGTGTATATGCTATTTGTTGTTGAATCACTTTTAGCTTGATTGAGAAAGTAGAGGAAAGTCACAACCCAACTTTCAAAACTTCGAAACTCGAACCATAATTGAAATACGAATACAAGTAAATAAAAATAAAAGTAGAAAATCTAAAAAATTTAAATCGAAAGAAAGACCACAAACAACAACATTAAATACAAAATAAAACGATGTTGTTTACATTTATTACAAATAGGGAACAAGTTCGAGATATAATTACAAAAACAAAATAGAAATGACTTAAATACAAAAATAGATTGGCCCTTCAAAATGATCTTCTATGTGATTACGCAGTTCTCGAATGCCCCTCCACCTCGACCAACAACTACAAACACCTAAAAATGAAAAAGTGTGAGTCTATAAAGATATTCCGTAAACAATGTACTTGCAGGCTCTCCTTGCATCCATGACCTAGTAGGTGACCACAAACTTACTCTGGGCTCTAGGTATATTGCTCTTGTTGTGCACAATCTTGGGTAGTTAGCTTAACCTAGACAGCGATAGACGATATCCAAAGATGAGACACTACCTTCATAGACTCTGTATTAAGTGAGGACGACATGGTGAGTTCTATCCTACTCATCATCAATAGAAGGTTAGCATTACTCTGTTATACGCGCGTGTGGGTGGGACTTTAATTTCTCTGTACTATATGATTTTTTTTTCCCAAATTTTTAATAAGATATATTTAATATCTAATGTATTAAAAAATATTTTTTTATTTGAACCATATTTTAATATTATAAAAAATATCTTAATATATATACCATTTGGATGTCATACAAATCTTTAATATATTTTTATTGAGTATATTTCATATACGAATTTAATATATGAGATACAATAAATCTATTCAATTTCTTAAGTTCCCGAGGCTCAGCACGTGAAACACGACCATAGTTTAATCAGTTATTGATATAAAAATACGTTCTTTAATGAAATATAGATGCCCCCATCATCAGAAACAAGGGGGCTGTCGATGGAGTACTCATGGGTTGGGTCTGCCATTGCAGTGATAGCGAGCTTAATAGCAGTCTGGGTATCATGGGGTGTGTTGAACTGGGTTTGGATCAGGCCGAGGAAGCTCGAGAAGCGGCTGAGAGAACAAGGCCTGGCCGGAAACCCTTACCGGATCCTCCATGGGGACAATAAGGAGAGTTTGGCGATGTTGATGGAGGCCAACTCAAAGCCTGTGGCCTTCTCCCATGACATTGGTCCAAGGGTGTTGCCCTCCATTTATAAAACCATCCAAAATTATGGTATGTATTTCCATATTCCATTCAAAACCTAAACAAGGATGTTACTTATTAGTTCTTTGTTTCCATGTTTTTTTAGTTCCTCTGCTTGTTGTTTGGGTGTTGTATTGTTGTTCTTCTTTTGGTCGGTCTTTGAACTCTGCTACGAGTAACAGTTTACTTCATGAACTTTAGCATGTATGTTTCCTGTCAAATCTGTAACAATTTGATTCACAGAGACTAAGTTTGATTGGGAAGGACCACATTTACAAGAACATTCTGTAGTCTTAGTAAGAGGGGGAAGGGTTAAGGATTTACCCGGTGTGAGATATCACATTGTTCGAGGAACCCTAGATGCTGTCAGAGTAAAGGATCGTCAACAAGGGTGTTCTAGTGCGTTGTAGATTCTTATCCAAGACTTGTATCATTTGATGATGCCATGTGAATCGCTAGAAACATGTGAAGTGTATGGCTAACCCACGCCCAAGTCCACAACTAGCAAATAGTGCATTTTTTTGGATTTTGTCAAAGCCCACTGCTAGCAAATATTGTCTCTTTGTACTTTCCCTATTTTGTTTTCCTCCCCGACTGATGTGGGAATGAGAGGTTTCGTTCCCCTCCCTAACTAAGGTGGGAATGAGAGGTTTCTACACTTTTATAGAGAATGTTTCGTTCTCCTCCCCAACTGATGTGAGATTTCACAATCCACACCCTTTGGGGCCTAGTGTCTTTGCTGGCACTTGTTTCCTTCTCCAATCAATGTGGGACCCCCCAATTCACCACTTCAAAGCTGTTCGAGGCCCAGCGTTCTCGCTGACACTTGTTCGTTCCCTTCTTCAATCGATGTGGGACTCCCCAATCCACCCCCTTCGAAACTCAGTGTCCTTGTTGGCAATTCCCTTCTCCATTTGATGTGGAACCCCCCAATTCACCCCCTTCGAAGCTCAGCGTCCTTGTTGGCACACCGCCTCGTGTCCACCCCTTTTGGGGCTCAACCTCCTCATTGGCACATCGCCTCGTGTCCACTCCCTTTTCGGAGCTTAGCCTCCTCATTGGCATACCGCCTCGTGTCCACCCTCTTTCGGGGCTCAGCCTCCTTGCTGGCACATTGCTCGGTGTCTAGCTTTGATTTGTAATAGCTCAAGCCCATCACTAGCAAATATTATCTTCTTTGAGCTTTCTCTTTCGAGCTTCTCCTCAAGGTTATTAAAACGCGTCTGTTAGATAGAGGTTTCCACACCCTTATAAAGAATGTTTCGTTCTCCTCCCCAACCAACGTGGGATCTCACGCTAACTAACGTCTTAATCTTGAAGGATATTTATGTATGTTTAAACGAATGTGCAGGAAAGAATTCATACATGTGGCTTGGACCGTGTCCAAGAGTACACATCATGGATCCAGAGCAACTTAAAGCTACCTTTTCTCTAATGAATGATATCCAAAAACCAGATAACAACCCGCTCATTGACTACCTTCTAGAGGGAATTCTAACCCATGAAGGGGACAAATGGACTAAACACAGAAAGATTATCAGCCCTGCATTTCATTTGGATAAGTTGAAGGTATCTTTTCAACAGGTGCTTAAGAACACATTAACCTGTAATCTAATGATTTAGTTGTGTCATTTGACATGTCCAGGGTATGATACCAGCGTTCGTGGATAGCAGCAAAGAGATATTGAGTGAATGGGAAAGAATAGTCCCTGAAGAAGGGTGTTGTGAGTTGGATGTAATGCCATATCTACAAAACTTGTCACGTGATGCCATTTCCAGAACAGCATTTGGAAGTAGCTATAAGGAAGGACAAATGATCTTCCAGCTTATAAGACAACTCATTGATTTGGTGATTAAAGTTTCGGGTGGAACATATATTCCTGGATGGAGGTAAATCTAGTCATTTCCATTTAAAGTAACAACTCATAGTACAACTGTAACGTTTCATGTCTTTTGTGATATGACTCTGTTACCTATATGTATTGAAGTGCTTCTGAGCGTGAAAACTATTATCACAGACTGACATAGATCATTTCAACATGTTTTGTTTTTACCTCATATGTTTTTCAGAAATATTTCTAGGTCACCCATTAGAGAATTTTCTCCAAGTTAAACACATTTAATTTAATATTTGAGTTTCTAGGATTGATCCACTTAAAAAGGAAGGTTCAAAAGGACTTAGTTCGTGGGAATAATGTCCTTTTTGGGCTTTCCCTTTTGAGTTTCCCCTTAAGATTTTAAAACGCGTCTGCTAGGGAGACGTTTCCACACCTTTAAATGCTTTGTTTCTCTCTTCAACCAATGTGGGATCTCATAATACACCCCCTTGGGGGCCAGCGTCTTTGGTGCCTGGCTCTGATACCATTTGTAACAGCCCAAGCCTGCCACTGACATATCTTATTCTCTTTAGGCTTTTCCTTAAGATTTTAAAATACATCTTCTAGGGAGAGGTTTCCACACCCTTATAAGGAATGCTTCGTTCTCCTCTCCAACCAAGGTAGGATCTCACAATAAGTATGTTACGTGGTCATGTTCTAGAAGAATGTCGGGGTCATCTCGTGAATTCAGATTCCAAATCCTAGTGTGAATAGGTGAAGTTTCATCAAGAACATGGACATATATAGATGATGCAACAGAGTTTTGAAGCTTGTATTCATACTATAAAGCTATTAACAATGCTATAAATAACTTTTTTGCAGGTTTCTACCAACCAAGTCCAACAATAAACTGAAAGAAACAAATGAAGAAATAAAAAGATTGGTTTTAGGTATCATAAACAAAAGGCAAAAGGCTATGAAGGAGGGTGAAACTGTACAAAATGACTTATTGGGCATTCTCCTAGACTCCAATGCTAAAGAAATTGAAGCTCAAGGAAACAACAAAGACGTTGGAATGAGCATAGAAGATGTGATTAAAGAGTGCAAGATTTTCTACATTGGTGGCCAAGAAACCACAGCTCAGCTATTAACTTGGACAATGATTTTGTTGAGCTTCCATACCGAGTGGCAAGAACGAGCTAGAGCTGAGGTTCGAGAAGTATTCGGTAACAACAACCCAAATTCCGATGGTTTAAGTCGTCTAAAAGTGGTAATTGAGATTCTCTGTGTCGTTTTTTCTTTTGTTTTCTACCTCGATAGCTTAATTAGTAGAACTATACTTAAGCTTTATATACGACAGGTAAATATGATTCTACACGAAGTTTTAAGGCTATATCCACCTGCAAGTATGCTTCCTCGTGTGGTTAAAAAGGAAACGACAATTGGAAAATTGAATTTACCGGCTGGAGTAATGTTAGTTGCACCGGTGGTTCTTATCCACCGTGATCGTGAGATATGGGGTGAGGATGCGAATGAGTTTAACCCGGAAAGATTTAGGAATGGAGTTTCTAAAGCATCCAAACTTCAGCCAGCTTTCTTTCCCTTTGGATGGGGTCCTCGGATATGCATGGGGCAAAACTTTGCGATTATGGAGGCCAAAGTAGCGATGTCCATGATTCTACAGCGTTTTTCATTTGAACTCTCTCCATCCTATGCTCATGCTCCCACTGTGGTCATGTCTGTTGAGCCTCAACACGGAGCTCATATCATTCTTCGCAAACTCAATAAGGTTTGATTGTGTATTTTTTAGCCTTAGTTTACGAGTTATTTAAATAAGCCTTATGTCGAACTTTGGCGTTTCTCGTTTAATAATGCATGATAAATTCTCCCTAACTTTATTCTCTTTGCTGGGAGAAAATTAGTCCCTTCATCTTCATTAAGTTGCTAGGCGTCCTAGTCATGTATTCGAAGGTGTGTTGTCTGTGACCATGTGTCATATGTCTCGATCATGCTTGTTTCAAACCCCTTTTACTTGCTTTCATGTTAGATAGGTCTTTACTATTTTTGTTGTGTCAATACGGGGTGTGATTGGTCACCAAAATCATGTCTTCACTGACAGGGTTGAAATTCCCCAAAATATACTATAGACAGATGTAACTAGTTGTCAATTCTTCTCATTCGGATTATATGCTATTTTTTGTTTATTTACTTTTAGCTTGTGTCATGACCTAATTTTCGAGATTTTGAGAAACTGCACCGTGAAAAAAAGACAAAATCAAACACAAACAAAATAGGCATATAACACCAGTGTCAAAATTCCAAGTTATTTACTAAGTCAACCTAAAAAGAATACAACTGGCTGACGCCTCGGGTCGACACCCCTCTGCGATAGTGCAGTTTCAAGGCACCTCCCCACCTCGACCGGTACCTTAAAAAGAAAGAGAAAAAGGGGTGAGTAAAAATATACTTAGTAAGCAACCTAATTATAGGCTCTTATTGCTTCTTTCTCTTAGTAGGTTCCCACGACTTTTTTTTTTTGGTCTATACGAAGTTCTAATTGATTCTTCATTGATCGTCTACCCGTGTAGTCCCTAGTCCCTTTTCGAGACTGGTTTACGGCGTCGCGGTGTCGACCGTGACTCATTTCTACACCATGGAAAACTACTATGTTCTTAGGGCGTTCATGGCGTTAAAACTCATTTTCTCAATTCCAGGACGTTAAGGTTTAGCCCCTCCTTGGGTGCACATAGGTCTAACCTCTAGTTCTTCACGTAAATCGCACTAGTTATAGAACCCTAATCTTGACTAAATTTTTGATGCATGATTTACTAGTAAAATATATCTATCAACCGTCTTTAACACAAAACGTGTCTACTCATTCATAGATGTTTATTATTATGGTATTCCTACCAACCTTTAGTACCGAAAAATCATAACATAAATCATACACACAATCAAACAAGCTCAACGAGGAGATAACATCCATTAATCACCCGGACCACAGATCAAAATATCCCTTCCTCCATCACATCACAGCGGAAGACATTAAATTAAACATGCTTCTCAATTCTCCATCTTGTCCATGGCCACAAAAGACCAAAAAAGATTCAATCTCTGGGACACTTGAATAAAAGAAGTGAACATAAATGAACTAATGTCATATCTACTCTTAGAAACAGTTGGGTTGTGTTGCATGAGATTTATAGGCATCTTAACTAATGTCAATTTTTTCATTGTTTCAATTAATGATTAACATCATTTGATTGTGAATGAAATTTAATGATCATTGATATACATAAAAGATAGAACCTAAAAAGGAAAGGTGGAATATTGAAAAATATATTCAATTTCTTTAATTTCTAAGGCTCATCACGTGAAACACGACCAAACTGTAACCAATTATTGATTAGAAATATGTTCTTTTGTGAAACATAATTGTCCCCATCATCCTTCCCAAGGTTGAAGATAAATTGAGCGGAGAGACAAATCCATCAGAACAAGGAGGTTGTCAATGGAGTACTCATGGGTTGGGGCTGCCATTTCAGTTGTAGTGAGCTTATTAGCAGTCTGGGTATCATGGGGTGTGTTGAACTGGGTTTGGATCAGGCCGAGGAAGCTCCAGAAGTGGCTGAGAGAACAAGGCCTGGCCGGAAACCCTTACCGGATTCTCTATGGGGACCTAAAGGAGAGCTTGGCACTGTTGAAGGAGGCCAACTCCAAGCCTATGGCCTTCTCCCATGACATTGGCGCAAGGGTGTTGCCCTCCATCTCTAATGCCATCCAAAACCATGGTATATATTTCCATCTCTTCCTTAAAATTGTTGTGTTAGTTTGGCCCTACGGCTCGATGTGAGCTTATAACTTAGTAGAATAAGTTACTAATTCATGAAGTATCTTTAGGAAAATTATTGGTAGACTTAGTAGAACAAGTTACTGACTTATGGAGCAACTTAGAAGACATTGTGGACCAAGTTTTGTGCTTTAATTAGGAAGATCCGTTAGTGGTTCATAACTCGAGGAGAAAGTTTAGAAGCTATTAGTGTCTCCCTTGTCAATACTCATGAGATGTATGCTTTTTCACAACAACAACAAAGAGAATTGAAAAGCTAAGTGCTTAAGCTTTCTTTGCTCCAAAAGATCTCTCCCCTTAAAGTATTTCTTTGCCTCTTTTAATTGTTTCGACATAATTTCGATCGAGGGTCACATCCAACACTTGATGTGCAGGAAAGAATTCATACATATGGCTTGGGCCATATCCGAGAGTAAACATCATGGATCCAGAGCAACTTAACGCTACCTTTTCTCTGATCAATGATATCCAAAAGCCAGATATGAACCCGTTCTTTAAGTTCCTTTTAGAGGGAATTATAACACATGAAGGTGAAAAATGGGCTAAACATAGAAAGATTATCAACCCTGCATTTCATTTGGATAAGTTGAAGGTATGTTTTCTCTACGTTATTTAAGAACTGGTGAAGAACACTTTTAAAACACTGCATTTGATTTTGTTTTTTTTGCACAGAATATGGTACCAGTGTTCGTGGATAGTAGCAATGAGATATTGAGTGAATGGGAAAGAATAGTCCCTGAAGAAGGGTGTTGTGAGTTGGATGTAATGCCATATCTACAAAGCTTGACACGTGATGCCATTTCCAGAGCAGCATTTGGAAGTAGCTATAAGGAAGGACAAATGATCTTCCAGCTTCTTAAACAACTTACTGATTGGGTGGTTAAGGTTGCTGGTGGAATTTATATTCCTGGATGGAGGTAAATCTTTACAATGTTGTATTATTATTTCGGATCACGTTTTAGAATTTAGGTTCGACATCGGATGATCTTAATATTTTTCTGTGTCTCTGGTAACATGACCACGGTACATGCACGTCTTAAACTTCTTCTGAGAATGAAAACTATCCTTAATGACCAACATAGCTCTTTCGAGCGTGTTTTATCCATACTCATATGTTTCATAGAAAATTTTTCAAAGAGTCACTCAACATAAATGTAACAGTCCAAGTCCATCGCTAACAGATATTGTCCTTAATGTGGGACCTCCTAATACACTCCCCTTTGGGGCCCAACGTCCTCGTTGGCACACCGTCTGGTGTCCACCCCCTTCGGGACCCAGCGTCCTCGTTGGCACACCATTTGGTGTCCACCCCCCTTCAGGGTTCAGCCTCTTCGCTAGCACATCGCCCGCTGTCTAGCTCTGATACCATTTGTAACAGCCCAAACCGATCACTAACAAATATTTTTCTGCTTCGGCTCGTTACATATCGCTATTAGTTTCACGATTTTAAAACGCGTCTGTTATGGAGAGGTTTCCACATCCTTATAAGGAATGTTTTGTTCCCCTCTCTAACCAACGTGGATCTCACAAAGTATGTAACATCGTCATGTCATAGAGAAATGCTGAGACCATCGACTGTCGAATTCAAATTCCAATTCTTAGTACGAACACGTTCACATGGACATAAAGATGGATGCACGAAGTCGAGGAAGTTTAACTCATACCACAAAGCTATTACAATGCTATAAGTAACTTCTTGTTCTTTTATTTGCAGGTTTCTACCAACAAAGTCGAACAAGAAAATGAAGGAAATAAATAGAGAAATAAAAAGAATGGTTTTGAGTATTATAAACAAAAGGAAAATGGCAATGAAGGAAGGTGAGGCTGTACAGAACGACCTATTGGGCATTCTCCTACAATCCAATTCAAAAGAAATTGAAGCACAAGGAAACAACAAAGACGTTGGAATGAGCATAGAAGATATCATTAATGAGTGCAAGATCTTCTACATTGCTGGCCAAGAAACCACAGAACAGCTATTAACTTGGACAATGATTTTGTTGAGCTTCCACACCGAGTGGCAAGAACGAGCTAGAGCTGAGGTTCGAGAAGTATTCGGTAACAACATCCCAGATTCCGATGGTCTACCTCGTCTAAAAGTGGTAATGTTTCTTTCCCCTTCTTTTAGTAGTTATATGGCGTAATTCGTCGAGCTGTACTTAAGCTTCATATATGACAGGTAAATATGATTTTACACGAAGTTTTAAGGCTATATCCACCTGCAAGTACGCTTAATCGGATGGTTAAAAAGGAAACGAGAGTTGGAAACTTGAGTCTACCAGCTGGAGTGATGTTGATTGCGCCGGTGGTTCTTATCCACCGTGATCGTGAGATATGGGGTGAGGATGCGAATGAGTTTAAACCAGAGAGATTTAGCAATGGAGTTTCTAAAGCATCGAAGTTGCAGCCTGCTTTCTTTCCATTTGGATGGGGTCCTCGGACATGCATGGGGCAGGACCTTGCGATACTTGAGGCCAAAGTTGCGATGTCCTTGATTCTACAACGTTTTTCATTTGAACTCTCTCCATCCTATGCTCATGCTCCCACTCTGCTTATGACTACTCAACCTCAACATGGAGCTCATATCATTCTACGCAAATTGTAACCACTAGATATTTGAATAAGGCTGATGGGTTAGGTTTTAAGTTTATAGCAATAATTTTGATATAAAACTCTTGAGATTTGATATAAATTTGTTGGAGAAGGGCGCTTTAAATCTAAATTATCCAAGAACTTCAAAAACAACAAGTAATTAATCCAAGGGAAAGTTTTGAAACGGATTGACTTGATGATCAAGATTAAGAGTTGTTTTTAAACTCTATTCAAATCACTTCATAAGATGGCCATAAGCCTCTCGCTACTAGATATTGCACTTTTCCACACTCTTATAGTCTCATGGTTTTAAAACACGTCTTGCTAGGGAGAAGTTTCCATTCTCTTACATATTTTGTATCGCTCTCCAACCGAATATTTCATTCCCCTCTCCAACCCAAGTCAGATTACAGATCTAGAATTTGAGAAGTCAATTAAGTTTTTTCTTACAGGAAAGTATGGTCTTCCATTCAAACATTTAACGTCAATGCACGTCATAATATTGAATTTTCCAGGCCCTTGGAATTTTCATTAACAATCAAATTAGTATACGCAAACTTATTTCTTCCTTTCCCTTCCACAAAAGTCATTAGTGATTATCATGAATACAAACGAAAGTGCAAGTACAATTTAAAATGTCACTGATATGCCCAACTGTGTATATCATCATTAAAAACACCGTGTAATCTCTAAATTTTCACCCTGTCAAATGGGTTTTGAGTTTCTACTAATCTATTAAAGTTTTTCCACATACGATCAAGCAAAGTAAAAGCAATCTTATCATGATATTGCAAACAGTGTGTGGTTGTCCTATAAATAACAGAGTCCAGTTGCGTCTCCTTCATCATCGTTGAGAGTTCAAGAAACTCAGCTCTGCTTCAGAACTGTGTTGTGTAATGGCGTGTGTCACAGCCACGGTATCCATTTGGATAGTTGTGGTGGGTTTAGTCGTATTGGGAGGGAAAATAATCTAGTTGATTAATAAGGAATCTGTAGAATAGATACGCATACAAATTCATCATGTGCCACTTCTGAACTCTATTTGGTTTAGGCCCAAGAAACTAGAGAAGCTTTTAAGACAGCAAGGGCTCGCCGGAAATTCTTACCGGATTCTCTACGGAGACTTGAAGGAGAGAGCCGCCATGAGGGAGCAGGCCATCTCCAAACCGATGAACTTCTCTAATGATATTTCTCCACGTGTTACTCCTTCTATTCATCATATCATCCAGAAATATGGTAACATTTCCCATTCTCCATCTTCCTCATCTTTCAATCCTTTTTCTCGAATGATTTGTGAACTCCACTGCGTTTCTGTTCATTAAATTTACCTGTAATTTTGTTCTGAAACAGGCAAGAATTCATTTATGTGGCTTGGCCCCATACCAAGAGTGCACATCATGGACCCTGAACAACTTAAAACTGTGTTTGCATTGTTCAATGATATCCAAAAGCCATCTATGAATCCCCTTGTCAAGTTGTTTGCAGGTGGACTTGTAAACCATGAAGGAGCAAAATGGGCCTAACACAGAAAGATAATCAATCCTGCATTTCATTTAGAAAAGCTTAAGGTATCTTTCTCTCCATATCACTGAAAGTTCTTGAATACTTCTGCATAATTAGCAAATAGTCTATCATGAATACTTGGAATCATACTGTACAGAGAATCTTAAAATGGAACATCTATTCTTATTTAAAGAAGAAGAAGAAGAGAACAAATTATTTGAGTTACTATAATTTCAAAATCATTACACCATAATTAGTGATCATACATACCTTGAATTGGCTTACAGGGTATGGTACCAGCATTCTATCATAGCTGCTACGAGATGGTTGGCAAATGGGAAAGCATGGTCTCCGAGGAGGGATCGTGTGAGCTAGATGTAATGCCTTATCTACAACAAATGGCTGCTGATGTGATTTCTCGAACAGCATTTGGGAGTAGCTATGAGAAAGGAAAAAAGATCTTCAAACTTCAAACTGAACTAGCTGATTTGGTGATTCAAACTATCATGAGGATTTATATTCCGGGATGGAGGTAAATAATAATAAAATTTCCCAAATGCTTAAACAGATCTTTAAACGTATACAAATAGTAAATTAGTTAGTTTAAAGATATATCATTACTATTTTATTACTGGTTAAGCATTTTAGTTTTCATATCATGATTGATTTTGTGCAGATTCCTACCCACAAAGTCGAACAAAAAAATGAAAGAGATTAGCAAGGAGATATCATCTTTGATCTTGGGTATTATAAATGAACGGGAAAAGTCTATGAAGGCAGGTGAAGCTATGAATAGCGATCTATTAGGCATTCTCATGGAATCAAATTTGAACGAAATTGGACAACATGGAAACAATAAAGACATTGGAATGAGCATAGAAGATGTCATAGATTAATGCAAGATTTTCTATATTGCCGGCCAAGAAACTACAGCTACATTACTAATTTGGAAATTGATACTGTTGAGTTCATACTCGGAATTGCAAGACCGAGCAAGGGCAGAGGTCTTTGAGATCTTCGGTAACAAGAATCCAGATTACGATGGTCTAAGTCGCCTAAAAGTTGTGAGTGATAGTCTCCTATTTTGTTGATCTATTTTCTAATTTTAATTTAATGAAAATTAAACGCCCATCTTCTAAGATAAAACAATCACATGAAACTTTAGGAGGGCCTAAAGAAGTTTCAAACCTTAATCTCCATCCAACTTATTGCCTTAGGATTGTGTAAGATGAAAGATTAAAGGCTATTTGACGAACTTGGTATGTGACTTTTGTGGGGATGTGTTCTAGAAGGTATTGTATTAGCTAACACATGACATGTGACTTTTTGAATGGCTCAGGTAACTATGATCTTGAACGAGGTTCTCAGGTTATACTCACCAGTGGGTATGCTTGGCCGACATGTTAAAAAAGAAACAAAACTTGGAAATTTGACTATACCAGCCGGAGTGTTCCTGGGCCTACCAATTCTTCAAATTCATCGTGATCCTGAGTTATGGGGTGAGGATGCAGACGAATTTAAACCAGAAAGATTTTCTGAGGGAGTTTCTAAAGCTACAAAAAATCCAGCTGCTTTTATCCCATTTGGTTGGGGTCCTCGAATATGCATAGGACTAAACTTTGCCATGATTGAAGCAAAAATGGCGTTATCAATCATCCTACAACGCTACTCATTTGAGCTTTCTCCATCGTATACTCATGCTCCCACCGCGGCTATAACAACCCAACCTCAACATGGAGCTCATATCATACTGCACAAACTGTAGAGTTCGCACATTATCAGAAGCTAGGGAAGTTCTATGCCATCCCTATGTATACTTAATGTTTGAAATAGTCAAAATTATGAACCACAGCTTTTGAAAACTGGTTTTGTTTCTCATTGACATTTTCTCAAACAGTTCATCTGCAATGGCTGCTCTGCAGCAGAGTCATGTTAACTTCAATCATAGTAATATACAACACAGCAAAACAAATGTTCTAAATGGGATTCTGAGACTACATATATCCACCCATTGAAATACTCAATACACCAAATTCAAGAAGAGATATAATTCTTGGAAACAACATGTGATTAGATAGATGAGATGAGATCCGATTACCTTGGTTGTGGAGTCCCAAATTCCTGAATCGCCGAAATTCTGCCGTTGTTCTAAGGGAATCTCCCTTCCGAAGGCCTCAATCGTCAATATACTTCGTTACTTAAAAAAAAGGAAGCCCATGAGATCATTTTTATAACTTAGAAAAAAAGGAAGCCTCATGAAGTATTTGGTTTTTAGGTGGTCTACCTCGTCAAAGTGAGACATTTCTTAATCAATTGAGCTATAATTAAAGCTTCACATACGACAGGTATATATGACTTCAACCAACTTTGTTTCCCTTTGGATGGGGTCCTCAAACATGCATGGGTCAGGACCTTGCAATACTTGAGGCCAAAGTTGCGATATCCTTGATTCTTCAGCGTTTTTCACTTGAATTCTCTCCATCCATCCCATGCTCATGCTCCCTTATGACCACTCAACCTCAACATGGAGCTCATATCATCCTACGAAAATTGTAACCACGGCTACGTATTTGAATTCTATAATCAAATCCATGTTCTCAAGTAAGGATAAAAAAGACACCGACACGTGACACGAGTTCTTTTTATTTAAGTACAATATTCAATCGATATGAGTGTGTAACAGTTCAAGCTCACTCACTACTAGTAGATATTGTCTGCTTTAGTCTGTTTACACACTCTTGTTCGAAATGCTTCATTCCACCGACATTTTCTAAGAGCCCAAGTCAATTAGGGATCTAAAATTTGACAAGTTTCTCTTACCAATTTAGGAAAGAAACGTAGAAAATGGAAAAAAGTATAATTTTCCAACGTCCAACATTTAATATCATAATGTCATAATGCTAAAATGCAAAGTTTTTGTTTTACTTTTTCCTCACATATTCCTCACATGATTTACATATTCCTCACATGATTTCCATATACCTCACAAAACAAAAGTAATTGGTATGCCAGACTGTGTTTGTATTGTAGTTAAAAACGTCCATGATTTGTGTCAAACCAAGTATAAGTTTCTCAGTGGAAGTTATGAGAATCACTTTAACTGTTGTTCATATTCACATGTATTGTAATGAAAATGTAAGCAATATCATGGATAGTAATCATTAATTATAATGAAAATTTGGGAAGTAGAATTTATAAATAGAGTACAAGCACTATTATCATGATATTGCAAACTGTGTAGTTGTCCTATATAAATAACAGACTTGTGTTCCATCTCCTTCACCATCGTTGAGAGTTCAAGAAACTCAGCTCTGATTTAGTTTTCAGGTTCAGAACTGTGTCTGTACTGATCGAGATGGCGTGTGTCACAGCCACGGTATCCATTTGGATAGCTGTGGTGAGTTTAGTCGTATTGGGAGGGAAACTTCTCAACTGGATTTGGTTGAGGCCCAGGAGATTAGAGAAGTTCTTAAGGCAGCAAGGATTCGCCGGAAATTCTTACCGGATTTTCTATGGAGACCTGAAGGACAGAGACGCCATGAGAGAGCAGGCCATCTCCAAGCCAATGAACTTCTCCAATGATATTGCTCCACGTGTGATTCCTTCTGTTCATCATACCATCCAGAAATATGGTATAACATATCCCAATCTCCATCTTCCTCATCTTTCAATCCTTCTTCTCAAATGATTTGTGAACTCCCCTGCGTTTCTGTTCATTAAATTTACCTGTAATTTTGTTCTGAAACAGGCAAGAATTCATTTATGTGGTTTGGCCCCATACCAAGATTGCACATCATGGACCCTGAACAACTTAAAACTGTGTTTGCATTGATCAATGATATCCAAAAGCCAGTTATGTATCCCCTTCTCAAGCTGCTTACAAATGGACTTATAAACCATGAAGGAGAAAAATGGGTGAAACACAGAAAGATAATCAATCCTGCATTTCATTTAGAAAAGCTTAAGGTATCTTATCACAGAAAAAGTTGTTGAATACTTGTGCATGACTACCAAATATTCTATCATCAATACTTGGAATCATATTGTACAGTGAATATTTTAAGATGGAACATACATACCTTAAATTGGCTTACAGGTTATGGTACCAGCATTCTATCATAGCTGCTACGACATGGTTAGCAAATGGGAAAGCATGGTCTTCGAGAACGGATCGTGTGAGTTAGATGTAATGCCTTATCTCCAACAAATGGCTGCTGAGGTGATTTCTCGAACAGCATTTGGGAGTAGCTATGAGAAAGGAAAAAAGATCTTCAAACTTCAAACTGAACTAGCTGGTTTGGTGAATCAAACTATCATGGGGATTTTTATTCCGGGATGGAGGTAAACAGAAAATAATAATAATAAAATAATAGTAAAAGCTTTCTAATTAAAAGTTGTTGGTCAAGACCTTTTCTCCATAACATTCCACATGCTTAAACAGATCTTTAAACTTATACAAATAGTAAATTATTTAGTTCAAAGATATATAATGATTGATTTTGTGCAGATTCCTACCCACAAAGTCGCACAGAAAAATGAAAGAGATAAGTAAGGAGATAACAACGCTGATCTTGGGTATTATAAATGAAAGGGAAAAGTCCAAGAGCGCAGGTGAAGCTGTGCATAGCGATCTGTTAGGCATTCTCATGGAATCCAATTTGAATGAAATTGGACGACATGGAAACAGTAAAGACATTGGAATGAGCATAGAAGATGTCATTGATGAATGCAAGACTTTCTATATTGCTGGCCAAGAAACTACAGCTACGTTACTAACATGGACGATGATATTATTGAGTTCATACTCAGAATGGCAAGAGCGAGCAAGGGCAGAGATCTTTGAGATCTTCGGTAACAAGAAACCAGATTTTGATGGTCTAAGTCGACTAAAAGTTGTGAGTGAAATTCTCCGGCGTTTACTTTTTGTTGATCTATTTTCTCATTTTGATCTAATCAAATTTAAATGCCCATCTTCTGAGATGAAACAATCACATCAAACTTTTGGAGGGCCTAAAACAGTTTCAAACCTTGCTCTCGATGCAACTTATTGGCTTTGGATTGTGTAAGATGAAAGATTAAAGGCTTATTTATTGGCTTTGGCTTTGGATTTTCCCTTCCAAGCTTCCCCTCAAGATTTTAAATTCCCTCAAGGTTTTAAAGCCCAAACCCACCACTAATAGATATTGTCCTCTTTGGACTTTCCTTTCTGGACTTTCCTTCAAAGTTAGTTTTAAAATTTTAAAACGCTAGAGAGGGGTTTTTACACTCAATGTTTTGTTCTCCTCTCTCACATAAAAAGTTATGTATTAGCTAACACATGACATGTGAGTTTTTCAATGGTTCAGGTAACTATGATCTTTAATGAGGTTCTCAGGTTATACTCACCAGCGAGTATGCTTTGTCGACGTGTTAAAAAAGAAACAAAACTTGGAAATTTGACTATGCCAGCCGGAGTGTTTTTGGGCTTACCAATTACTCTTCTCCATCGTGATCCTGAGTTATGGGGTGAAGATGCTGGCGAATTTAAACCAGAAAGATTTTCTAAGGGAGTTTCTAAAGCTACAAAAAATCCAGCTGCTTTTATCCCATTTGGTTTGGGTCCTCGAATATGCATAGGACTAAACTTTGCCATGATTGAAGCAAAAATGGCGCTATCAATTATCCTACAACGCTTCTCATTTGAGCTTTCTCCATCGTATACTCATGCTCCCATCGCAGCTATAACAGTCCAACCTCAACATGGAGCTCATATCATACTGCACAAACTGTAGAATTCGCACATTATCAGAAGCTAGGGAAGTTCTATGCCATCCCTATGTATACTTCATGTTTGAAATAGTCAAAATTATGAACCACAGCTTTTGAAAACTGGTTTTGTTTCTCATTGACATTTTCTCAAACAGTTCATCTGCAATGGCTGCTCTGCAGCAGAGTCATGTTAACTTCAATCATAGTAATATACAACACAGCAAAACAAATGTTCTAAATGGGATTCTGAGACTACATATATCCACCCATTGAAATACTCAATACACCGAAATTCAAGAAGAGATATAATTCTTGGAAACAACATGTGCTTAGATAGATGAGATGATATCCGATTACCTTGGTTGTGGAGTCCCAAATTCCTGAATCGCCGAAATTCTGCAGTTGTTCTAAGGGAATCTCCCTTCCAAAGGCCTCAATCGTCAATATACTTCGTTACTTCAAAAAAGGAAGCCCACGAAGTATTTGGTAACAACAACCCAGATTCATGGTAAGTGAGACGTTTCTCTTTCTTTTATATTTTCTACTCTAGCTTAATAACTAGCTTAATCAATTGAGCTATACTTAAAAGCTTTATATACTATAAATATGATTTTACACAAAGTTTTAAGGCTATATCCACCTGAATACGCTTAAACGGATGGTTAAAAAGGAAACGAGAATTGGAAATTTGAGTTTACCCGTGGTCGTGAGATATGGGATGAGGATGCAAATGAGTTTAAACCATAAAGATTCAGCAATAGAGTTTCTAAAGCATCAAAACTTCAATCAACTGTATTTCCCTTTGGATGGGGTCCTCGAACATGCATGGGTCAAGACCTTGCGTCCTTGATTCTACGGCGTTTTTCATTTGAATTCTTGCCATCCCACGCTCATGTTCCCGCTTTGCTTATGACCACTTAGCCTCAACATGGAGCTCATATCATCCTAGAAAATCAAGTTCTTTTTATTTAAGTATAATATTCAATCGTTATGAGCTTGTAACGGTTCAAACTCACCATTTAGTTTGTTACGTATCGTCGTCAGTCTCACGATTTTAAAACGTATCTTGCTAGGAAAAGGTTTTCACACTCTTATCCGAAATGTTTCATTCCACCAACCTTTTCTTAGAGCCAAAGTCAATTACGATCTAAAATTCAACAAGTTTTCGTAGAAATTTGGAAAACGGGTAGTTTTCCAACATCCAACATTTAATGTCATAATGCTAAAAGGCAAAGATTTTGTTTTTTACTTCTTTCCTCATATGATTTCCATATTCCCCACAAAACAGAAGTAATAAGTATGCCAGACTGTGTTTGTATTGTAGTTAAAAACGTCCATGAGTTATCACTTTGTTCATCTTCACATGTATGCAATATGGTGAATAGTAATTATTATAATGAAGTAAATTACAAGTTCATAAACCTGCCAAAAATTATAAACATAACAAACCATCCAGTAGAGTAAAAGCACCATTACCAGCGGTGTGGTTGTCCTATAAATAACAGAGTTGTGTTGCGTCTCCTTCACCATTGTTGAGAGTTCAAGAAACTCAGCTCTGATTCAGTTCAGGTGCAGAACTGTGTCTGTACCGATCGAGATGGCGTGTGTCACAGCCACGATATCCATTTGGATAGCTGTGGTGAGTTTAGTCGTATTGGGAGGGAAACTTCTCAACTGGATTTGGTTGAGGCCCAGGAGATTAGAGAAGTTTTTAAGGCAGCAAGGATTCGCCGGAAATTCTTACCGGATTCTCTATGGAGACCTGAAGGACAGAACCGCCATGAGAGAGCAGGCCATCTCCAAGCCGATCAACTTCAACAATGATATATCTCCACGTGTTATTCCTTCTGTTCATCATACCATCCAGAAATATGGTATAACATATCCCAATCTCCATCTTCCTCATCTTTCAATCCTTTTTCTCGAATCATCTGTGAACTCCCCTGCGTTTCTGTTCATGGATTTTACCTGTAATTTTGTTCTGAAACAGGCAAGAATTCATTTATGTGGTTTGGCCCCATACCAAGATTGCACATCATGGACCCTGAACAACTTAAAATTGTGTTTACATTGATCAATGATATCCAAAAGCCAGTTATGAATCCCCTTCTCAAGTTGTTTGCAGGTGGAGTTGTAAACCATGAAGGAGCAAAATGGGTGAAACACAGAAAGATAATCAATCCTGCATTTCATTTACAAAAGCTTAAGGTACCTTATCACAGAAAAAGTTGTTGAATACTTGTGCATGACTACCAAATATCCTATCATCAATACTTGGAATCATATTGTGCAGCGAATATTAAGATGGAACATCTATTCTTATCTAAAGGGTATGGTGATCATACATACCTTAAATTGGCTTACAGGTTATGGTACCAGCATTCTATCATAGCTGCTACGACATGGTTAGCAAATGGGAAAGCATGGTCTTCGAGAGCGGGTCGTGTGAGTTAGACGTAATGCCTTATCTACAAGAAATGGCTGCTGATGTGATTTCTCGAACAGCATTTGGGAGTAGCTATGAGAAAGGAAAAAAGATCTTCAAACTTCAAACTGAACTAGCTGTTCTGGTGAATCAACCTACCATGGGGATTTTTATTCCGGGATGGAGGTAAACAGAAAAAAATAATAATAAAATAATAGTAAAAGCTTTCTAATTAAAAGTTGTTGGTCAAGACTTTCTCCATAACTTTCCACATGCTTAACAGATCTTTAAACTTATACAAATAGTAAATTATTTAGTTTAAAGATATATAATGATTGATTTTGTGCAGATTCCTACCCACAAAGTCGAACAAAAAAATGAAAGAGATAAGTAAGGAGATAACAACTCTGATCTTGGGTATTATAAATGAAAGGGAAAAGTCCATGAGCGCAGGTGAAGCTATGCATAGCGATCTGTTAGGCATTCTCATGGAATCCAATTTGAATGAAATTGGACGACATGGAAACAATAAAGACACTGGAATGAGCATAGAAGATGTCATTAATGAATGCAAGACTTTCTATATTGCTGGACAAGAAACTACAGCTACGTTACTAATTTGGACGATGATATTATTGAGTTCATACTCAGAATGGCAAGACCGAGCAAGAGAAGAGGTCTTTGAGATCTTCGGTAACAAGAAACCAGATTTTGATGGTCTAAGTCGACTAAAAGTTGTGAGTGAAATTCTCCTGCATTTACTTTTTGTTGATCTATTTTCTCATTTTGATTTAACCAAATTTAAATGCCCTCTTCTATGATAAAACAATCACATGAAACTTTTGGAGGGCCTAAAAAAGTTTCAAACCTTACTCTTGAGAGAATGTATGTCCTAAAATGTAACGGCCCAAGCCCACTGCAAACAAATATTGTTTCTTTGGATTTTCCATTCCAAGCTTCTCCTCAAGGTTTTAAATCCCCTCAAGGTTTTAAATTCCAAGCCCACCGCTAACAAATATTGTCCTCTTTAAACTTTCCCTTCCGGACTTTCCTTCAAAGTTTAAAAGTTTTAAAACGCGAGAGGGGTTTTCACACCCAATGTTTGTTCTCCTCCCCATATCTCACATAAAAAGTTTTTTATTAGCTAATACATGACATGTGAGTTTTTTAATGGTTCAGGTAACTATGATCTTGAACGAGGTTCTCAGGTTATACTCACCAGCGAGTTTGCTTAGTCGACGTGTTAAAAAAGAAACAAAAGTTGGAAATTTGACTATACCAGCCGGAGTGTTTTTGGGCTTACCAATTACTCTTCTCCATCGTGATCCTGAGTTATGGGGTGAAGATGCGGGCGAATTTAAACCAGAAAGATTTTCTAAGGGAGTTTCTAAAGCTACAAAAAATCCAAATGCTTTTATCCCATTTGGTTTGGGTCCTCGAATATGCATAGGACTAAACTTTGCCATGATTGAAGCAAAAATGGCGCTATCAATTATCCTACAACGCTTCTCATTTGAGCTTTCTCCATCGTATACTCATGCTCCCATCGCAGGTATAACAGTCCAACCTCAACATGGAGCTCATATCATACTGCACAAACTGTAGAGTTCGCACATTATCAGAAGCTAGGGAAGTTCACTGCTATACCTATGTATACTTTCGAATCCTTTGATATTTTCCTTTCAACTAAGTACCCTTTTCATTGCTCACCATTTCCTAAATAAATGGCTTTGAGATTATTAATTACTGTTTGTAATAGTCAAAATTATGAACCACAGCTTTTGAAAACTGGTTTTGTTTCTCATTGACATTTTCTCAAACAGTTCATCTCCAATGGCTGCTCTGCAGCAGAGTCATGTTAACTTCAATCATAGTAATATACAACACAGCAAAACAAATGTTCTAAATGGGATTCTGAGACTACAATATCCACCCATTGAAATACTCAATACACAGAAATTCAAAAAGAGATATAATTCTTGGAAACAACATGTGATTAGATAGATGAGATGAGATCCGATTACCTTGGTTGTGGAGTCCCAAATTCCTGATTGGCTGAAAAAAAGGAGGCCCATGAGATCATTTTCATAACTTTATGAATCACAGTATAATTTTTATAACATTATTCGTTTGCACACTAGCTATGAGCATGGCTTTGCTTTCTCAAATTCCAGCGTCGTTCTTCACTAAAAATCCCGAGCTCGCTCTCTCATCTGCCGTTAACACATCCAAGCTCACAAATTCCCCAAAAATCCAGCGAAGATGGTGCAATTTGGCAAGTCTTCCACGCCTCTCCTTCCAGTCGCCGGCCAGACTACGGCCGACGGCTGCTGTATATTTACTTTTTTCATGTATTTAAAATCTATTTCTATTTCATTTAAACTCTACTAATCTACTAAAGAACAGGCTGCAGAATGTATCTACCGAGATAAATCTCATACTAAAATATTCAAACCTAATGGGAAGAAAAGAAAGAAAGAACGCATGCATATGTTTGAAGAGAAGAAATTTAGGGTAGTTCAAACATATGATTGAGAACATGCAGAAGGTTTTGCATGCATATGATTGAGAACATGCAAAACCTTGAGGGTACCCCAAAGCAAATCTCGGCCGGGTGAAATTGAGTTCTCGAGTATTCGAATTTCACGTCTGAGAACCCATTGGATCGGCCTTCAAATACCAGATTAAGAACAGCAAAAACAAAACGAATGTAGATAATCCTTCCTCCTCGAAACTGCAAGCTGTTTAACGAAGAATCAAACTTACAGATCGAAAATACGAGAGAAAGGAATCGATTTGTTCTATGCCCGCAACGGAACAATAGCACCATTTTTTTCACAAGATGCTCTGTTCTCTCTATGGCAATGAGTTAAAACCTAGATTGGCTCGGCTTAAATAGGCGACTACTTCAGCTTAAATGACTCTTTTACCCTTCATAATTTTTTTTTTTTTAGTTTAATTCCTCAAATTTTAAATTTATATAGTTGCCTTTTAATTTCTTACTTTGTGAACTTTTAAATAAATTTATAACATATTAATCCATATATTATTTTATGTTTAATTGAATTATAAACTTTTAATTTTAAAATTTTTTTATAGAAAAATGATATAATTAAAGAATTAAACAAAAATAAAAGATTTACAATAAATATAATATTAAAAGTTTAAGAATTTTTTATGTTCACAAAAAAAAAAAAAAAAAAATCTAATTGGTATTTTTTTTCTTAATGGAACAATATATACATAAAATTAAAATATCATTAATTATGGTAAATTCGAACCTAACTAAGTAAATAAATCATCATTTATCATTTTTTATTATGATGGTCGAAGTTTCATCCTATACTTTATAACTATGATATCAAGAGAACCACAAATACAGATGAAATTTGATCCAGAGGGATTAAGGCATAGCTGGCCAAATTTATGGTCCAACTCACTCCTCTGATCATTGATTCTTAGCAAGGTTTCTTATAGTCCAATTCACGGCATAATCAATTGACGGTTTCTCCAAATCATCATATACCAAGAGCAATTATACACGTCAACGGAAGAAGAGTTGAAAACAAGATTTTAATCGAAGTGCTTAAGTCTCATGTATCTAGATTTGAAATAACATTTTTGGTTACTTAATCAGTTATCACCTGAACTATTTGGAATTTGGATGGGTTGTTTAAATTCCAATTCAAACACACACATGAACAGAGTAGTAAAATCTTATTTATTAATTTTTTGAAAAGAAGTTGAGAAGTTTTCAACATCTATCTCTTTCCATATGCATCACAACATCAATAAATATAAGATCCAAGTTTACACACATTGTATACTGATTCAAGGGTAAATGCAGTTTTCATAACCTGCACCGAAATTGAAATTGAAACCACAAATCAAAATGAACAACAAAAAAAAAAACAAACAAAAGAAAAATGGATTTGGTGTTAGAATTGGACTAACTTGGATTAGTGATGACAATCACACCAGAGCCTCTGAAATCACAGTTCCACTGATCGTCTCCTTCCGCATTGTAGTACAGACTCATAGCTACAGAGGCATGGTTGAACAGAGTATCAGGATCAAAGCAGGAGCCTCCTTCTTGTATTATTTTGCAATCTACCTTCGAACAAGCGAAATCGATATTCCCTAACAGCGTCGCTTGATCCGACGATGGCTTCGGAAGGCACCACGTCTTCTGCAAATTCATCGCCCAAAATATCAGATCAATTTCAACTCAGTTTTCAGAAATTTATTGTTTCCGTAAGTTAACCTGATTTGGTAACGTTGCGTTCACCAGTCCATTTACCGCAAGCAAATCTCCTCCTGAAAGAGAATCGGAAGCAGAAATTATTCAGATTCAGTGACTGTTCGAAAACTTAGCGGAAGAATTCGAATAGATCGAGAAAACGGACCTGAAATGAACGAGAGGAGAAACAAAAAGCAGAGAGCGGCCGCTTTCGCCATTAGTCGTGCGCTGTTCTGCTGCGATCAGGTGGAATATTGAAGGAATCGGAGAAAGGCGATGGATGACTGAAAAAGGCGACGATGGAGAAGGATTTTATAGCAGGAGGGTGGATTGCGTGACCATTGAAATGATGAAGTATTTTTTTAATTATAAATTCATAACTATTTCCACAAATCAATACAAGTCCTTTCCTCACTCACATGCATTCTGAGAAGGTCTCTGAGTATAGAATTGATCTAAACACTCTAAGCACAACATGTTAAACCTTAAAGGTCTCTGAGCATAGAATTGATCTAAACACTCTAAGCACAACATGTTAAACCTTAAAGTTCATATGACTCAATAACTGAAAAGGAAGATGCACCTATTTTGTATAAATAATAATTTTCTATATTCTAAAACATTTTTTAGTTATCCTTGTTAGAGGAACACGACTCTCCACAATGGTATGATATTGTCCACTACAATGGTATGATATTGTCCACTACAATGGTATGATATTGTCCACTTTGAGCATAAGCTCTCATGGCTTTGCTTTGGGCTTCCCAAAAGGCCTCATACCAATAGAGTTAGTATTCCTCACTTATAAACCCATGATCATTCCCTAAATTAGTCGATGTGGGACTTTCATCATCCAACAATCCTATCTCCAGAGTTGCTCTCATTTGGATGATATTCTATTGATTCATATATTCCTTATTTACCCCTCGTATCCTTAAAATATAATAATTTATAATTTATATATATATTTCTATTTTGGATGTTTTTTTTATTGTTTTCCATCACTTTCGGCTATTTTCTCTTCATTAATAAAAACAGATCTCAAAGAATAAAGATGGTAGCATAATTATTTATAGATAATTAAGATAAAATCAATCTGTAATTATGCGTATTTAAATAAATAAATAAAGCAATAACATGCTAAAAACGGTAAATTAACATATCCCAAGCTTTCAAAAACCTTAAAAAAGAATTTAAAAGATTAATTATAAAATAATTGAACAATAATAATGGTAAATGAAGAAAGCAATGATGCATGTTTAATATTTTTAAATTTGAATGGTAATTATTTAATAGTGGCATGGTTAATAATTTAGAAATTTAAAGAGTTAAATAAAATGTTATTTTAGTTTATTAAAAAAATAGTTAAATAATAACAATTTTCATGGTTGAACAAATTATGAGGATCAATGCAGGGGGTTCCTTTTTGCGTTACTCCGCAATCTACCCGCCGCCCACAGGCGGAATTCTTATTGTCGTACCAGCGCCGCTTGATCCGACGGCGGCTTCGGAACGCAGCACGTTTTCTGCAAATTCATCGCACAGAATAAGAACAATTCCGACTCTGTTTTAAGAAATTTATTGTTTCCTAAACCTAATTTGATAATTTCGATTTTTCCTGTCCTTTTACCGCCAGCAAATCGCTTCCAGAAAAAGGAATCAGAAGCAGAAATTATTGAGATTCAGTGATTATTCGAAAACATGGCGGAATTCGAACAGATCGAGAAAACGCACCTGAAAGGAACGAGAGGAATAACAACAAAAAAGGAGAGAGCGCCCGCTTTCGCCGGTAATCTTGCTCTGTTATGCTGCTATCAGGTTGTAATACCGGAGGAAAGGAAGAATACATGAATATATAAGAATCACACTCGGAATGAAAGCGATGACTAAAAAAGTTGGAAGAAAATGAAAGCTATCATCGATAAGGTACATTTTTATTTTGAGTTACTAAATCATGCACAATTCGAACAAAATATATAAGAATTTTGAGTAATTATATATTTTTTGGGATGGATGTGAATTCGGACAAAACATATTGAAAAGACTTATAACGATTATATGTTGAGTGTCATCGTAATAATTTTCCTAGAATGCATGTGAGTGATGATTGAGGATAAAGACTAATGGAAGAACATAGAAGGCTTCTATGTTGGTTAGCTCCTAGTATAATTTTTTTGGAATGTATGTGAGTGAAGACAACCCATACTGAAATGATTTAGAGCAACTTTATGTTAAGTGAATTAGTAATTTTCTTAAAAGGTAGGTGTGTGAAAACAAAACAGGCCGAGGTGATTTAAATCTTGAGCATTATATTTAGTTACCAATTCTAACGAAAAATGAAGATTTTCATACTAACAATGAGACATGAAATAAGAAAGTATCCAAATGGAATAGGTAAAAATAACAACAAAAACCTGTCGGGAATAGGACAAAAAATCCGAATCAAAAGCGTAGCTTTTGGGACAAGATGACAGGTGGGCATCCAAACTACATGAATCTCCTCTCTTATCCAATCTCACTCAGAGCTTCCAAAGAGCAGAAGAAGAAATCTCTACAATGGCTGTAAATGCTGTAAATGCTGTAAATCCCACTCCATTACGCCTCCCATCAGCCATTCCCACTGGGAAATGGATTTCCAATGCCAGAGTTTGCCTCCCCAGAAAACCCCCAACTCAATCTACTTCCTCTTTCAACAAGAACTTCAGATCTCGTTCCAATTTCTCTCTCAAACCTTCTTCTTCTTCCCTTGCTTCAGGTAATGGAATGTCGATCTTTTGTTTTCTGCTTCTTTTGATGTTAATTGTGGGAAAAAAAATGTGGAATGATTCTTGAGTTTCTGTATAAGAGTTTGGGTTTTGATTCATTTATGAAAAGAAATTTCGGAAATTGTTCAAAATCAATGGTTTAATGATGATTTCGGGTATGTTTGAGAGTGATTATGAAATGGTTAAAATGTTTGTTCTTTAATCAATGGGCTGCAACAGTTGGAAATGCAGGATATGTGGAGGAACCTTCAACTAATGTGAAATTTTCGACGTCCTTCACTCTTCCGGGCTGCTCGACTTCGCTGTCGTTGCTCGGAACAGGTTAGTTAATTATAGTTCTACATGGTTATAGTAAGGGGGGAGAAGAAGAATGCAGTGATCAACTGATTTTTATGAAAAATTACTGTTAATCGTCTACTGCTCATGGTTTTCTTGCAATGTATGTAAGAGAGCCCTTGAAAACAAAAGCTCGCTGCTATTTGTTGAGTATGAAAGAATTTTCGACATCTTTTTAGGAGTGAAGGAAACGAAAAACGAACGTCGTTCATGGCACAAGTCGTTTGTTGTAAAATGAAGTTGACGGTTTATTCTACTTTGAGACATAAACTGCATACATGTTTATTATTCTAAAGCTAATGTAACAACCCAAGTCCACCGCTAGTAGATATTATCCGTTTTGCCCCGTTATGTATCACCGTCAGCCTCACGGTTTTAAAATGTGTCTATTAAGGAAAGGTTTCCACATCCTTATAAGGAATGCTTTGTTCCTCTCTCCAACCGATGTGAGATTTCACAATCCACCCCCTTGAGGGTCCGGTGTCCTTGTTGGCACACCGTATGGTGTCTGGCTCTGTTGTTTGTTTTGGCCCATTATGCATCACCGTCAGTCTCACGGTTTTAAAACGCTCTGTTAGGGAGAGGTTTCCACACCCTTATTAAAAATGATTCGTTCCCCTCTCCGAACAATATGAGATCTCATAGGAATCTCACAGCTACCTATGAATTTTATACATCCAAAATGTGGATACTTTTAACTGTAATTATATTCTTCACTCTGATCTTCATCAGCTGCAAATATTTCAGGTTACAGAGAGAAGGTTTTTGCAATCATTGGTGTTAAGGTCTATGCTGCAGGATTATACATCAATTCATCCATCTCAAACGAATTAAATGCTTGGAGGGGTCGATCGGCTGCTGCAATTCAGGAGGATTCTTCCTTGTTCAATATAATCTTTCAGTGTAATAACCATTACCTATAAATCATACATAACTATATGATTATAGAAGTTGTGAATTATTTATGTTACTACAAGTTTATTGCCTTTCAATGGCAGCTCCTTTAGAAAAATCTTTACAGATTGTTCTCGTCCGAGATGTCGATGGCAAAACATTCTGGGACGCCTTGGATGACGCCATTTCTCCAAGAATCAAAGCACCAACACCGGTCGATGAATCTGCATTATCTACCTTTCGTAGCATCTTCGAGGGGCGGTCTCTTAAGAAAGGAACCTTCATATTCTTGACTTGGTTGGAACCTCCAAAGATGCTTGTATGTTTAAAATTTAACTGTCTTACATTTTCTTTTCTTTTCTTTTCTTTTCTTTTCCCTTCCTTTCATTAATGGTGAATTGCAGGTTAGCACCTCAGTTGACGGCCCACCGGCAGGAATAGAAGCTACAATCGAATCAAACAATGTGACTTCAGCTCTTTTCGATGTTTTTTTTGGGGACAATCCTGTTTCTCCTACTTTGAAGGCTTCTGTTGCAGCTGGATTGTCTGTAGTTTTGAAATAGGACCAGGATTGTCTTGTTCTTATTAGTTTGAATGAACATTTGAATATGGTTCCACCAAACAGATTACAAATGCGAGATCACAATAAGTGTATAATACATTTTAGAGATCACAATCTGTTACAATGCTACTTGACTTTAGCTGCTCAAGCACTTTGACTACCTCTGCCATTGTTGGTCGCCGAGCAGGTTCTGGTTCAAGACACTTCAGTGCAATGCTAAATACGACATTAACCTCGTCGACTGGAAAACAGCTCAAACTTCTGTCAAGTACATATTCTTCTCTTTTCTCCTGAACAACTGTTTTCACCTGACATTTAGATCACACCATGAAAATCAGACAAGATATAGCTTATTGTTCAGCTGTCTGTTCTTTTTTATGAATAATATGTCCAATTTTTAGCATTTGAGTACTCAATCTATTGCCTCTTGAAAGATGTCACTTGCGACATCTGGGTTGCTGGTGAAATGAATGGCACTAGGAAACGGTTTACTCTATGTAAAATCAATATGTAACAGCTCAAGCCCATTGCTAGCAGGGATTGTCTGTTTTGGTCTATTACGTATTGCCGTCCATCTCACGGTTTTAAAACGCGTATACTAAGGAGAGGTTTCCACACTCTTATATTGAATGATTTGTTCCCCTCTTCAACGGGTGGGATCTCACACAATATTAACAACCAATCAACCAACCCAAAGTCTCTGTCTTTCTTAGGCTACTAAAAATGGTTCAAGATTCACTTACCCACGTCACAAGTTTAGTTCCCTCTTCCATAAATGCTTCATCAGTCGGTTTTTTCCCTGTTAAGAGTTCGAGTAGTACTACACCAAAGCTGTAGACATCTCCTTTTGTCGTTGCTCGCCCCGTATCGAAGTATTCTGCCAAAATGAAGTTAGTAATATGGATGTCAAGGGAGAGGTGAAGTAGAATGGCTTGTTAAATTCTACCTGGAGCCAAGTACCCAAATGTGCCTGCCACAATAGTCGATACATGAGTCTTGTTGGGTTCCATCAGAGTTGCCAATCCAAAGTCGGACACTTGAGCGTCCATGTTTTGATCCAACAATATGTTGCTCGACTTGATATCTCTATGTATGATGTGCGGGATGCAGTCGTGATGAAGGTACGATAGGCCTCTCGCTGCACCTACTGCTATTTTATACCGTGATGGCCAATCCAAAACCTTCTCCTTTGATCTTCCTGCAGTATCATCAAATTTAGGAAAGAATAATGTGCTATATCTCACTGAGAAGCTTTAGGAATACCGAAGGGGTAACAGCCCAAGCTCAAGCCCACCGCTAGCCGATATTGTCTTGTCTTCTTTGGGCTTTCCCTTTCAAGCTTCCCTTCAAGGTTTTTAAAATGTGTATGCAAGGGAGAGGTTTCCACACCCTTATAAGAAATGTCTTGTTATCCTCTTCAATCGATGTGTATCCTATAAACGAGTTTTAAAAAACTTGAAGGGAATCCCGAAAGGCAAAGCCCAAAGAGGACAATATCTGCTAGCGGTGGACTTGGGTTGTTATAGAAGGCTCTGATATATACATTTACCATGTAGATATTCATACAAACTTCCATTAGGCATTAGCTCATATATAAGGAGATTATAGTGAGGAGCAGTGTAGTATCCGTGAAGCGTGACGATGTTCCGATGCTTTATGTCTCCCATCGCTTCCAATTCTCTCTCGAATCCTTGATCTCTTTCAGCACTTCCTCTGTTCAGTCTTTTCACAGCAAATGTCAAGGAGTCACTTAGTGCAAGTTTGTAAACAGTCCCATGGCCTCCAGAGCCAATGATGTCCCTGTTGTTTAGTTTTAGTGTTTTCTTCAGGAACGCATCTGATTCCAGGGACTTTGTTGCTGGAGACTTGAACATGACCATCTTCCCACCTATGTATATACATTGGCATTGCACACGTTACTCTCGACTCCGGTGATTAACTCGACTAACTCAACATATTCTCTTAAGTTTGGAAATTATCATACCTGACATCCCATCTTCATAAATCATGTGTCTTCTTTTCCAGCGCTTGTAAAGAAGCAATGCTATGAAGATCTTCGACACGATGAAAGCGACACAACTGATCGTGGCATAGAGTGCTATAGCCTGGCCTCTATCCATTTGATTCTACAGACGATAAAAATGTTCAGAACAGTTTACATGGAAGACAGTCTCGAACTTGTGAGATTTCCTCCATTTAACTCGACATGAGACAAGCAATTTGGCTGTCTCTCAACATGTTTCTGAGTGTCAATGAGCTGAAGTATCTGAAGGTTGTTCTCTGCTAATACTGTAGATACATAAAGAAGACTCAACCCCAAATCCTACATCAGTTGGAGAGGAAAATGAATAAGGGTGTAGAAACCTCTCCCTAACAAACGCGTTTTAAAAACCTCGAGGAAAAACTCAAAAGAAGACAACATCTGCTAGCAGTGGTTTGAGTCGTTTCAAAACACTCCAAAATACAGACTACTGACTCGAATATACAGAGGTGAAGTATTTACTACCCCAAGATCCAAGCTCTTGGTGGTTGAATCGCACTTTGAGAGAACAAACGACATTTCTTTTCCCGACAAATAGGAACCTTCAAGAATGGAGCTTACACTAAAAGAAGCAAAACAGACAGGTCCAGCTAAAGAAAGCAATCAAGAATTCAAGATTTCAACAAAGTTCTGTATAAACTTACCCGATCTTCATCAGCTGTGACATGAACAGGAATGAAAACCAGAAGAAAACCAAAGAGGAAGCAACTTAGTAAGAACATAACAGCTTTTTCTTGAGAGACTAATAATGGGAAGGGAAGAGAAGGAAAGCTTCTTATCATGATTGGCTCATTTGACAAAAACAAAGGCTTTATTATTATCTTCTCATGTGGGTTTGTGTTTGTCTGTACTTTTTTCTGATTGACATGCCTCCATTTTCAATGCAGGAGTCTGCTAAAAGAAAAGGGGCTCACCACCAATCACAGTTCGACTCGTGTTTAGAGAAAGGCCCAAGAAAGGAGATACTGATAATCTTCTCAAACTTGGGCATTTCACTTACGCAAAGAGTACTCAAATCAAGTTGAAATGGATAGCTTTTATGTTGATCTGCTAAGATCCTGCCCTTATCATGATGGGACAAAGAAGCAAAGGAAGTAGTTGGTTCGTCCTGTCATTTTTTCTTGTACATACTCAAAGTATACCATTTCATTATCAATACTTCAAGCTTCATGTGGTTGGGATCTTACTGTTGATACCCACAGCCTCCCATTTTGAATCTTTTGGCTCCAAACCTTGTTAACACATGGCCTTGTCTCAGACTTATGTAGGAAAAGTCAACATTTTTGTCGGCTGAAAATAGTTGCAGGCGAACCCTAACTACTCTGTCGGTATACAGGGAAGCTTGAGCCTTTTTGATTCAGAGACAAGAGTCCCCATGTACGATAAGAGTACACTTTTCTTCCACGCCCACCGCTAGCAAATATTGTCTTTTAGACTTTTCTTTTTCCTTTTTAGGCTTTCCCTAGGAGTTTTAGTAATAAAAGATTTTTACACCTTTACAACGAATGTTTTGTTTTCTTCTCTAACCGACGTGAGATATCTTAGGTGAGCGGCTACTATAAGCTGAACTCGTTTCTTCTAAGACGTTTTTTTTTTTATAACCCTTGTTAAGGGTCACATCAAAACCATAGCAAAATGTTAAAGATATCCAGAAAAGTTGGAGAAGGCAAGCATTGATGAGATGGTAGAAAAAGTAGAGAACCAAAAGAGAAGGATGTTAAAAGGAATTGGCAAAGCATGCATTATCATATGAAGGTTGTGCTGTCATCCATTGATTCTGTACCATCTGTCCTTTGGGTTTCCTAGGAGTTGGGAAACTCACAAACCAAACATATTAATGCTGAAATTAGGAAGTAATACAGATCAGAAAATGGAAAGCCATTAATATTTATTCACATCACATGTTTTGGCTTCTCAACATACAAAAAAATGAAATATAAATAAATAAATAAAAGAAAAAGGAAAAAAAAAAAGAATAAAAATTTCCGTTGCCGGGACTTGAACCCGGGTCTTTCGGGTGAGAGCCGAATATCCTGACCAACTAGACTACAACGGACTTTTGAAATCCAAATGAAACTAAATTTTTATAAAAAATAATATTTGTTAAAAACAAAAAAAAGAACAAAATTATTTCCGTTGCCGGGATTTGAACCCGGGTCTTTCGGGTGAGAGCCGAATATCCTGACCAACTAGACTACAACGGATTTGTTAAATGTTATTATCAAATAAAAATATATTCTAGATAAGCACAAGCTTTGCTACCCTTGTGTCGTCTCGGTGCCTTTCGCGCCGTCTTAACCATTCACAATCCCTTTCCGCCATTTTTACTCGAATTCTCTTCGTTTTCATTCGATGAACGATTAATCGAGGCACATAATTGGCCAACGTATGAAGGACCCGGGCGTGCCGAAATGTTCGGTCAAATGGAAGCAACCCTCCACCAGTTCAAGCAAGAAACTTGTTTTGTTCCTCACGAGATCATTTTTTGTTCTTCGGCCGAGCCCGCACCCGCCACGCTGACCGTGCCTTCCAAGCGTTCGACAAAATTCCATCCTTTGGATGCAAGCGGACGGTGACATCTTCAAATTCGTTGTTGGATGCATTGTTGAAACGCCGGGAGTTTGAGAAAATGGCGGAAGTTTTTGTGGGCATTGGTAGCTATGGCTCCCTTAATGCTTGTACATTTAACATTTTGATTCATGCTGCTTGTTTATGTGGGTATTTGGATGCTGCGTGGGATGTGTTCGATGAAATGCGAAAGAGAGGTGTAAACCCGAATGTCGTTACTTTTGGGACTTCGATTTATGGGCTCTCTCTCCATTTTAAGTTGAAAGAAGCATTGAGATTAAGAGAGGATATGGTGAATGTGTATAGATTTCACCTAATGCGTCAATATATGCTACTTTTATCAAAGGATTATGTGGGGTTGGATAATTGAATTTGGCTTTCAAGCTGGAGGAGGAGATGGTGACTAACAAGGTAAAATTAGACTCGGCAATTTATTCTACTTCAATTAGTGCTCGATGAGATGATCTTCAAGGGTTATGTGCCTCGTTCTGAAAGCATAAACAAGCTCATTAGCAGGTGGTGCCAGGAATGCAATATGGAGCTTTTGGGACAGTTTTTTAAACAGTTTAGTAAGAGGAAATGGCATGAATGTGGCTATATGGTCTAGTTTTGTTTGCAAGGAGAGTCTATCAGAAGCCTCCAAGTTACTTCCTTCATTGATGGGACGATCTTATAATTGCCATGTTTAAATTCTTGTTAGTCCTATTCTATCTACCAATTTAAACTTCTTGTCTCTTATAGGGTGAAACTCAACTTTCATCTCCCTGGTCTGGGCATCGCAAAGTAAGTTGACGTCGACCCATATGAAGTTGTTTTTGAATGGGTTAGAACGAACTTACTATCCATGTTTAGCATGAATGTGATTGTCACATTGGTTGGAGAGGAGAACAAAGCATTCCTTATGAGTGTGGAAACCTCTTTCTAGTAGACGTTTTAAAATCGTGAGGCTGATGGCGATACGTAACAGGCCAAAGCGGACAATATACTAGCAGTAGGCTTGGGCTATTGCAAATGGTATCAGAGCCCGACTCAAAGCGGTGTGCCAGCGAGGACATTGGGCCCCCAAGGGAGGTGGATTGTGAGATCCTACATCGATTGGTGAGGGAAACAAAGCATTCCTTGTATGAGTGTGGAAAGCTCTCCTTAGTAGACGCGTTTTAAAACCGAGAGGCTGATGGTGATACGTAACGGCCAAAGCATACAATATCTACTAGCGGTGAACTTCGACTGTTACAACAAAGAACTAGGGGATAGAGTGATGCACTCTAATGGATCCTAGGTCTCTCTCCATGCTCTATTTTGATCAGGATCTCTTCGATCCAATTGACAATAGACAATTGAGAGTCCCAGCAATAGCCTATTTCTCAAGGAAATAAGAACAAGGGAAGGAGCTATGAAGGGTCCTATTCTATTCAGCTCAGAACCAATTTGTCCAGATACTTGCTTCAGCTTGTGTCCTATCTAGTTGCAGTATATCTGGAACAATTACTGAACACAGGGATCTATCATGTTGAACAACGACATTAAGAGGTACAATTATTTCCATTCAGCACTATAAACTTATACATCTAGCAAGAATCCTTAGTTTATGTGCACAAACATGTAATGAGCATGAGTTACAGAATTTGCAGGCAGGCATGGTAATATCTTCACCTTCGCTTATTTCGGCTTCAATTTCAGTGCAGCACTGCAGAGAGTTTCATACACAATTCAGTTCAGGAAATTAGCAGCCACACAAGCAGAATGAGATAGTAACATCAACATACCTATTGATGCAGTAACGCTTCCCAGTTGGGGGCGGTCCATCATCAAATACATGGCCTAGATGAGCATCACAAGCAGCACAAAGAACCTCCTCTCGAGGCATGAAAATAATGGACAGGTCTAGCGTGGTTTTGACATTATCACCAATGGGCTGGTAATACGATGGCCAACCAGTTCCACTGTCAAATTTAGTTGATGATCTGAAGAGAGAATATTACATATTATTGGAAGTTCTATGATAAATCATTTGCTTTGAGAAGTTATTGAAAGAGCCAAAATATTTACTCAAACAGAGGCGTGTTGCAACATATGCACTGGTAAGTCCCTGGCGTTTTGGTGTTCCAATACTCTCTGAAATTGAAGGAAAACGTTTACCATTGGAATAGAATTGTCATAAAACTGATCAAAATGTTCATATGACGTTTTGTAACGGTCTAAGCCCACCGCTAGTAGATATTATCCTCTTTGGACTTCTTCTCAAGATTTTAAAACGCGTTTTCTAGGGAGAGGTTTCCACGCCCTTATAAAGGGTGTTTTGTTCTCCTCCCCAACTGATGTGGGATCTCACAATCCACCCCCTTCGGGGCCAGCGTCTTTGCTGTCACTCATTTCTTTCTCCAATCAATGTGGGGTCCCCCACCAAATCCACCCTCTTCGGTGCCCAGCATCCCTTCTGACACATCGACTCGTGTCCTCCCCTTTCGGGGCTCAGCCTCCTTGTTGGCACATCGCCCGATGTCTGGGTCTAATACCATTTGTAACGGCCTAAGCTCACCGCTAGCAAATATTATCCTCCTTGAGCTTTCCCTTTCAAGCTTCCTCTCACGGTTTTAAAACGCATCTGTTAGAGGGAGATTTTTACCCTAATAAAGGGGTTTCATTCTCCTCTCCAACCGATGTGGCGTTTTATATCGAAGATATTGATTGAAGTATACCCAGTAAAAGCTCTCTCAGTTCCCTTCTGACGGGTAATATAAAACTGCTCGCTTGTGAGCCGCTTCTTCCATTCATCATCGCTAAGAGATTTGTAATCCGCGGTGCCAGCCTCTGCACCAACAGGCAACTAGCTTCTTCAATGTTCGATATCATAGACATGAACACAACAGCAAATTGGTAAGATAAATTCTCCCTTTACTGTAAATTTCTCGTGCTATGCCATGGATATTCATTACTTGAATTCATTTTATCATACAGTTTAGAGCAAGATTTGATAATGAAAAGAAAGGAAAAGGAAAAACCTCGGATACCATCTGGTCGCTGGGAAGAGGAGGAGGAGCCCATAGCACGGATAGAAAACGATGAAAGCTTTTCGTTCTTGGGTGCTCTGAAAATTAGAGGAGAAGGTAAAGAAACAAACTTGAAATTATGTTGGGTGTTCGAAGAATTGATAAACCCAGATGGAATCGATAAATTCAAACTTCTGGAAGCCATCGTTGACAATAAAATGAACTTGGGCTTTCACTTTTTGTTCAAATACTCAGCTAGCAGAGGCCCGTGGGGGGAGGGGTATGCTTCTGATTCTGCAATCTTAGCCGTTTGATGGAATCTTAGAGCTGATTGATGGAATATGGATGGTTAGATTGGGAAGGAGGAAAGGGACGTTGTGAGCTGGGGAGCATTTGAGTGGGTGGATGAGAACAAGCCCTGTCTTAGCAGAAGTGGATATGTGTTGGCCACGTTTATTCCCTTGGAGTTGCATGATTATGATGGAGCAGTGAAAGTGATAAAGTGTACGAGTCATGTACGTTATATTTGTAAGCAGATTTGAAAAAGGTCGTAAAATGAGCATTTATATTTTCCATTAACTAATGACTAAGTTTCTTTGCAATTCTTTGTAATTTAGGTTGCAGGTAGAATCATTCAAGATCGACAAGATCAATCTTACTTATGGAATGATTCGAATCTCAAACAAATGTTCTTGCCTTGAGATATCCGATCAACAAGGTAATCCAAGTAATCCAGGTAATCCAAATCTCACTTCCTTGTAGTTCCTTATCCTTTGGTATCATACGTTAATTTTTTATTAGAAAAGACTACCCATTATTACTAGCATTCAACTGGGAGTTTAGGAACTCCAACAACATCCAAACACTCAACATTCAACCATACTATTACTGAATCTTAGACTCTTGGTGGGAAGAAGATGATGAACAGTTATGATTGTGAGGGAAAACTTACCGTGGAGTGAATGTGGTATTAGGTTGGTGGAGTGTGAATGCGCAGGGTGTCGAGGTGAGACTTCCCGTCTAGTTTGCGAGAAAAGAGCAGCCTCACGAACTGTTGGTATGTCAAAGTTGTAAACAATGGAGGGGACTGAGGCGTAAGTAGGGATGGAATTGGCCTTATCTCTTTCTCCAAACTTGGGTTGTTGAACGTCGCTATGGACAGCCTTTCCCTCTTTGCGTTCACCGTGGCGCAGTGTTCTATGCTTTTGTATTCCCCATTTGTTATTATCTGCCAAAACCGAAATCAACAAACTTCCGTTGATGTACATCTTAATTTGAACATAATTTCTAACTCCTTCAAACTTATATTTTCAATTGTTGGTTGAGTTATGCCTGTGCCAACAAATCGTGTTCAAAATAATGGACGACAAAGTAACATTGAAGTTAAAATTCTTGTCTTTTTAACAAAAAAAAAACAAAAATAGACTTCCCATGTATCTAATATAGATCTTTTGAACTTTAATGGATCTTCAACTTGTTTTTACTAGATTTTTGAACTTTTAATTATTGGTATAATAAATTTCTTAATCTCAGCTCTACTATATTGGATGATGAAAATATATTTTCAGATCTACTACGTACTTTGTTCGAGGGAAGGTGTTGGATGATGGAAGTCCCACATCGGCTAATTTAGGGAATTATCGTGGGTTTATAAGGAATACTCTCTCTATTGGTATGAGGCATTTTGGTGGACAATATCATACCATTGTGAAGAGTCGTGTTCGTCTAACATGGTATCAGAGTCATACCCTAAACTGCCAATAGATTGAGGCACAAGAACCGAAATAATATTTTAACCTTCAAACTCCTAATTATGATTTTGTTAAGTTATCAAAAATATCCTAAATTATGACATTAATTTTAATTTACTATTGAGTTTCATTTTCACCTAAAGTTTGTTTCAAAACAACCCTAATAGGATTTTACTACTAAATTCATACAAATTTATATTCCTATCTTAATATTTTGGGGAGAGCAAAACCTAGATGGAGTAGTCCAACTATGTGGCCCAACCTTATGGTGCCACGTGTCACTTTGTTGTTTTAGCATGTTTGCAATTTTTTCTTTTATTTTATATTTTTTTATACACTTCTTTATTTATAAACTACGAAATTATTTTAAACTTTTAATTTTCAATTAATCAATTGAAAATAAATAATATTAGGTAGATGAGAAATTAAAATAAATAAAAAGTAAATTTAATTGTGAAATCATTACCTCCATGATGTCACCGATGTTGACGATAAACGCATTGGGGAGAGGCGTCACGGCAACCCAATTCCCGTCCTTCTTAATCTTCAGACCTTCCATTTCGTTGATTTGCAGCAGAATTGTGAGGCCGACGGCGTCGGAGTGCGGCGTTATTCCGATCACCTTCTCCGGCTTCGGGCAGGGAGGATAATAGTTCATTCTCATCGACTGACTACCATCCTTGAAGATCTCCGTCAACTCCCCATCTTTGATCCCCAACGCTTTCTCAAATTGCTCGAAAATCGCCATCGCCAGATTCTTCACCTCTGCCGAGTACTCCTCCATTGTGTTTCTGCATCCGAATCAATCCGAAATTTAAGAACGATACTCTGCAATGGAACGAAATTGAGAGTGAAAGAGAATGAGAGAACCGGAAAGCGGGAGGGAGGTTTTGAAATAAGCGCGGTTTCCTGAGATGTGGAGGCGCGGTAGCGATGAAGAAAAGGTCGCACCAATCCAGTTTCTGTTCTTCACTTACAACGAAAGCTTGTCCAAATCCTTCTGCATCTTCTTCACTCTGCCATAGCTTATCGATTGAAGAGATTCTGCGTCTCCACCTTCATTTTCTCGATCAACGAATCGCTCACTCCATGGTTCACCAACTAAATTTCAGCAAACGACACCGATTCAAAATCATGATATTACACAGAGAAACAGAGGAACGAAGAGGAGAACCTGAAAGAATCCCCAATTTTTGCTAGCGGAATGAAGCCGAGTCAATTCGGAGTGCATTGAAGCGTCGGAGTGAAAGTTCGACATTTCGATAACGGGGATTTCGGAAGCGGCGGAGACGATCGGGAAGGAGTGGAGATCGGGGCGGATGTATCGAGATGGAACTTCGATGATTGGCTGTTTCACCAACTCTTGAACGGAAGGTACCAAAATCGAACCTCCGAATCTTGATGTGTTGTTCTTCTCCGCCATCACTTTTGATTGTCCGATTGATTTTGATTTTGATTTTCGTGTTTCTTCAGGGTATAATCATGAAGTCATGGAATTCATCCATATATAACGTTTTAACTTTCTTACATTTTACTAATTAAATAATGTTTTTATCAAAAATAGAATTAATTAATTAATTAAATTATAGTTAGGTTGATGGTCTTATCAATGTAAATAATATATATCATATTATCAATATATATAATTATACAAATTCTACCACCTCACGATTATCATATTATCATATTATTATTTTACATTAATTAAAAAAGTTCATCTAAAATACAAGGACTACAAGGCAAAAAAGGTGTTTTAGCCTAATTATTATATCATTTAATTAAACACAATTACAAGCAAGCACCATGCCATGAACGGAAATAGATATCTAAACATTGATTCGAAATCTAGAGCAACCTGATTTCCCTGCAACTACAATTTACCTTCATCTCGAGCCACGATCTTGAACTTTCCTGTTAGTTGTTGCTGCACGAAGAAGAGATAAACAATACTCAAACAACACTCAAACCCGTTCTTTCATATAAATTATAACAGCTCAAGCCTGTTAGTTGAACACGACTCTCCACAGTAGTACCACTTTGAGTATAAACTCTAGTGGCTTTACTTTGAGCTTCCTTAAAAAAACATCATTCCATAAATTAAACGATGTGGAACTTTCTCGCTTTTATTGTCATCTTTGAAATTTCACTTTCAGGTTTCTTTTAAAGATTTTTAAAATGAGTATGTTATGGAGAGATTTCCCCACCCTTATAATAGAGAGGTTTCACGCTCTTGTAGAGAAAGGATTAAAGTAAAGAATACATTTTCATTGGGACTAGACATTTTGAGAAAGCTCAAAGAAAAGCCACTAACACTTATACTCAAAATGGATAATATTTATAACATCTTAGAGAGTCGTGATTCCAACCAAGAATCTCACCTACACCATACTTGGCCTACCCATCAATTAGCAGGAGCTCCTCTGGGGTTTTTCTTTTCAATAACACAAAATGCGTGCAGAATTCACCAAATGTAAGAGAAACAATCAAATAATTAACACAGTAGAAACTCCTTAGACATAGACAAGTACTATGGAAGAACAGTCATTCTAAGAATTCAAACCTTCCTGGATAAAAGGAGAAAGGGAATGAATTTACCTTCTTCCACAAGTCGGTGTGGTTTCTGCAGAACCCAGCTACAATGGCACCAGATCTTCTTCCTTCTCTGTACTCAATACAGAGATCCTCCTTCAACCCACAAGTAACATGAAAAGCCAAATTGCATTTGGGCTCTGAGCAATCTATAGCACAACCTCTAGAAGTTTTGCAGATGTAACATTTGGATTCCCATCTCCTCTTCAGAATCAATGAGCAATCAATTCCTTCTCTGCCATCTGGGTCCTCGAAGAACACCTCAGGAACAAAGAGGCCACAAACAATATGAGCCCATCGGCCATCGTTCGTCGGCTTCATGGCCCCTCCTTTGAGAGGACAGAGGCAGCATGAAAATGGAGTTTCTGATACCTTCTTCTCTGTGTTAGAAGACGAAGAAGCTAAGCATTGGATACAGAACCAATCGCCTTCTGGTACGCTCTTCGCCAGAGGATTGCCATAACATGAAGAATGTACCATTAAATCGCATCCATCGCAGAACACGATTGGATCTGAAGGATCTCCGTCTGTACTTTGACAAATCGCACAGAGGATCCCATCGTCTTCGTCTTCAACATCAGAAATTTCGCTTTCCTCGTCCTCTTCATTTTTCTCTCTCACTGATTCTGTTTTCGGTACCGATTCTTCTTCCTCTGAAGGAGGCTTGTATTCAACATTGAGATCCAATGACTCGGGGGGGAAATCAGGGTGAAGCGCCCACACTCTCTTCTTGGTTGGCAAGCAGTAAGAAGCGGAAATGGGGGCTGGGTGAGGCAAAGTAGCGTCTGGAAGAAAGAACAATGATGAATCGCGAGACTCCTTTCGCTTCTTCGCTGGAAGGGAACAGGAACGGAGCGATTGATCCTCATTTTGCGGGTTCAGTTGCTGTTGTTCTTGAAGGAATCTGAGCCTTTTGAGGGGAGGTAAGCCATGGAGGGAATCCATTCGGATCTGCAAAGTTCAAGTGGGGGTATCGACAATAGAAAGAAGAAGAAGAAGAAGAAGGGGAATGGATGAATGGGGCAGAAAATTTGAGGACGAAACTGATTTGAGTACAAGAATAAGGAATAGGGTTTTGGAATTCAGAGTTCCCGCGAACTGAAAAATGTGGAAGATCCCTAAAATTTTGATTTGGGGGAGATCGGAGATTCAATCCCGCGGGGAACTGTTCAACAATTTATATTTTTTCTTAATTTTGAATTTTGTTTAAATTGAAATTTCCAAGGGAAAACGGCGCCAACTCCCGCCCTTTTTTTTCAAGTATAGCAGGTCGGGTTTCTCTTATTCCATTTTTTATATTTATTTTAAGAATTATTCATTTCAAATTATATTTCATTTTTTTCAAAAAATAAAATAATATATAAAATAATCTCTTTATTCTCGATTTAAATAAAGAAATTTCCAGATATCTTCACGTTAAATAAATAAACATCTTTGCATTTATAGTTAATTTATAGGTTTGGTTGTTATAATTTGGATTTTGTTTCAATTTAGTATTTGTGTTTGTTATAATGTTTCAAGTTGGTATTGTTTCAAAACTCCGCCGTTAGCGTTCCGATCCATTTAGTAGCAAAGATGGCAGTCCTACATGTTGATCTAACAAATCTATATCTAAATGAAACTAAACATAACTCAAACAATTGAATCTAAAATCTAAAATTCCATAATTCTACCAACAAAAAAAAAAAAAAGACAAGAGTGATTGCAAACACCGTACCAAGAACTGGCACCAATTGGAAATGACCCATTGAGCTCTTCGAATGCTTGAAATCTACAGGAATCAAAAGGATCAAATACATGGCGGCTACAAAAGAGAGATGATATATATATAAAAAGTGCAGGCAGGCTCTGCTGTTATTCAGCCAACTTCAAGCCTACCCATTTCACTGCAGGGGGTGTTTGGTTGAATTAAACTCGGTGGAACCAGTTTTGTCGAACAGCAACACGATCCATGCCTGTTCATAGATGGAAGCTTGCAAATCGTAAGTAAGATGTAGTGATCAATATGAAAAATTAAGCGCCAACTTCGAATAGACGGTTCATTTTTCTTATACCAGAGCACAGGGTGCAAAGCCAGCCAACTAACACACTGAATGATGTACTGCTAGTTGGTAAAGACTTATGCCAGGAAGAGTATTTGATAGCTTCCTAAGATGGAACAAATTGTTGATTGTTCAAGCCACGAGCTAAACTGACTTCAGATGGAGGATTTTGGAGTTCAGCTCCGACTGCCATTTTCATACGACCTAAACACAGACCATCAACCAAGTTGGGTACAAAAAGGATCAGAGAGCACAGACGAATGTTTCGGGACGAAGTGAAGCTTAAATAGATGTACCCACCTTAGTACAATCTGAAATCGGTTCATAGCCATAAATTAAGCCGATCACGGAAGGCCCACAAACCTGCAGATTTACATTAGAAAACATTAGAAACAGACATTATAGAGCTTCCAAGAAAATTGAACATAAAATCACCAGTACTACGACATAATCATATACTTGGATGAGAAAATGAATGCTGATAATTCACTGTTCTTGACACTGCTTTTCCAACAAGTTAAAAGCTATCAGTTTTCTTTTTTGGATACTAAAGATTGTCTATATTGGAAAAAGATGGATGGTGGTCAGAGGAACACAATTGGATATCCTCCAATATCCTAAAAGCTAAGAAATTGATGAAACAGTAAGTAGGTAGCTACAAGCTAAGTTCAATACAAAGCTCCCCATCAGTACTTCGAGCCAATAAACGCAAACCTACAGCCAACATTTTCATTGAAGATTCATAACAGGGGTCAAAATATTGCAGAGGGCTGCATAATGTCGAAAAGAAATAAATTCATTAAACTTTCAACAAAAGCTGCTTCAAATATCTCTAGTACTAAACTGGGAAAATTTGTATTTACAACCCAGAGAGAACAATGCAGAAACCTGCAATCGAAATTCACAGGACAAATTCCCAAAATAGTTAAAAAAAAAAATTGTAAAGGATGCCAAGTAAAAAGCTAGCAGCTTTGACCATTTTTAATGTTTTCTAACTAAAACAAAAGAAATTTCTTCCAGCTTCTTGCTGCTTCTATAATCTGAAACGTAAGATTATCCTTAGAACCATATAACTATACTCCAACTTTAACAATTCTAAATATAACACTAGTTGGTCACTTGCATGAGGTATACATTCAATAAACCATTCTACATATTCTAGCAACAACGTTGTTCAGGATAGGAACAGAGTTCTAACTATATAACTTAAACATCTCATGTCTAGTAAAATTTAAAGATGTAAACAGATCAGATACTATTGAACATAAACCCCTAATAAACCTGGAGTCTCAGAAGCTATCAAACAGGGAGATGGAAGGAAAGGAGAAAGATGCACAAAGCACATAAAGCCTCAATCAGGGGGCATGGAGGTTCTACCAATCGTGGCAAAGCAAGAGTGCCATCAGGCAACAGACGTGGAGAACGAAAACAGATCTAAAGATTCCTAAAAGGGCAAGGAAAAAGGAAGAGACTAGAATAATAGGCGATCATTTTTTTTTCAGAGAAAAAAGATAAACACTTACTTGACTGAAATTCATCATGTGGCTCCATTGTTGAACTGTCTTGGCAATGACCAGCCATTTCACGCAATAAACAAGCTTCTCTCAATTCTTTGCTGTCATTCTCTAGGGCAGATGAGTAACACAACGTGTTTTCTTACTTACGTTTCTGAAAAAAAAATTCCTGTCCTATAACCATACGAGGACAGGACTTTTTGTACCACCAGCAACGCTTGAGATCCCCATATTTACACCCTATTGTTCCAACTCGCTTCACTTAATTAGCCCACTGCAAGACGATAGGATTGCAGTACACTACTGGGCTATAACCCAAATTTGCACTTCATACTTGGAGGATACAGACCAAAAAAAGAAATATTTTCTCCCATATCATCCATGGAAGAGACAAAAAGAAAAAAAAAAAAAAAAGAAAGAAAGAGAGATAGCAAGATAACAAAACCATACATGGACAGAATAGACCAAAATAATTAACGGGAAGTGTTGAGAATGAACTCTCTTAGAAGTTTGAGGAAACAGAGCTCACCGGTTCTTGCATTTAAAGTCCGGATTCTAAGTCCTAGAAATCTAACTGGCAAGGAAAGTAAGGATACAGATGATAAAAGATCAAAATGGGTGGAACACACGTTTCACATATTTAAGGCCACTTTATACCTTCTCTTTAGACTATGGTACAGTCCCTTCCCAAGGCACTCTCTAAATGGATTGAATAGATTACCAACAACGCTCACTTTCTCTGTCTGTGTGAAATGTAAATACTCAAAAATCTCACCTTTTGACCACCAACAGAATAAAAAGTACGATAACTTCTCAACACGGCAATATATGATATTCTAGAAGTAGAAACTTGTGAGGTACTTGATACCCATAGGTAACTGTTCCAAAAGTTGGAAACCAATTGTCACTCCACTAATTCCAAGGGCCTTTGCGTCTCTACTGAAATGTCAATCCTCATGTGAAGTATAGCTCACAATTTAAATATTTTAAAAACTAAAAAAAGTATTCATATGAAAATTGCATTCAATAGAATCGCTCATGTACAAAATTTTTATAGAAACAAACAGAAGGAAAGAAAAATGAAACCATAAACATGTTATCATTTTCAGGGGCAAAATTTTAAAAAGAAAAAACCAGGAAAAAGCTTAGTTGCATACAAGAAACTAAAGAAAAAGAAACCAGAGTATTAAAAGCGATCACCTTTCTCTTTTCAATCCAAAAAATAAAAAATAAAATTATGGCCTTCACAGAGGCCCACAAAGCAGATCAAAGTATAAGGTGCAGTAACGTACATCTCTGTTGAAAGTTGTGGCTGGAGCCCAGGCAGGTAAGGGCTACCAATATCTGAGAGAAGATTATCCTTCTCCAGAAGGACATAAGTTCAAGGTTCTTGATAGAAAGATTACTCCTCAGTGTCTATTGGAGACAGCCTCAAGGTATACAACTCCTCTCCATGGATGATAAGTAGGGACTGGACACCATCCCAGGTAACTAGAAAATTGTGGGGTTGGAGCCAGGAGTTGTACACAAACTACAATTGTTTACAATTATAAATATATGTATCTTTGGCAAGCCTATATCATTGCTCTAGCCTCCTCCTCTTATAAAATCCATGTTTCAATCCACAATTTCAAGCACCATAAACTAAAGATTTAGAAGTATAACCCCAAACTCCACACAACTAAATGTACTAAATCCAGAACTCCTAGACAGCTAGATTCCAACTACAAGTTGCATAGGCTAATGAATCACTCGATCTACATTTTGTAACCTTGCACCAATACCGAAAGTTACAGTTTTTTTGGTCAATTAACAAAATTCAATGATAATATTTAATGATTGGAGAAGGAAGATACTAATGGACAAAATCAACCATGACCATAAAAGCTGCTTCCAAAGCACTAATCTAAAGATAATTCCGATGTGTGTTAAGAATTAATGAAGAGGGTAAATCAACTGAATGGCTTACCCTACTTGTATTTCTAAACCCTCTTGTAGCTGACCTTAAAAAAAAAAAATAGTAACAAAGAACTAATAATATACTTGATAGACAGTAACCTGGAAATTTGACATATGAACAAGAGCACAAAGGAAGTCAAGGAAAAACAAGGTTTCTAGACATCAATATGGTTACCAAATACAAAGATCACTTATTCAGTTAACAACAGGAAACTTCGTCTACTAGATAATTAACATAACTAAACCCCAAGAAAAAAGGGAAATCACCAATCCACCTACAATGTGAGGATCCCTGTCAAAAGAAAGAGAGACTAAATCCCACAAGGTGTGCAGGGAACACAACCAAGCCTATCTAATTCTTAGAACTTCATCCTTGAAGCTGCTAACTAAAATGTATAAGCAAATCTGCACTTACACACCAAAAAGAACTGCAATGTAGATTCACAATTAAAAAAATATATACCTAATCTTCAATGTTCCAAGTAATCAAAATCAAAATGAAAAATAAATATCACATCTGGAATGTGCAGAAAGGCATATACAGGGAAATATATATATTATGAAACTAAAAGTAGCATATTGCATCAACAGGCTAAGTTAATTGGTCTAGTTCAAGTACAGCATGAAAACTGTTAATAAGCAAATCTCCTAAAATGTCTATCACAATGCAACACTTTAGATCCAGACCTAATTATCAATGCTTTGTGATTTGAACCTCAAGCCCTCCACAAGAAACATCTTAGCAGGACATAATTCATCAGTCTATCTATGTCCTTGAGCCCGTTGCATGTCATATGCACCCCAGGGAACAGATCCAGGTCCATATGGAGGATAACCATCGGTACCAGACTGCACCTATGATTTACAGCAAAACCATAATACACCATTCAAAAGAACGAAAAATATAGGAATCAAGGAAGAGATGTAGAAGAATGGTACATGAGAAGTATAGCAAAGACCCCTAAAAGCCAATATGCTTGCACAGAATTGCAAACGATCCAAAAAGGCTTCGGGTGTATATGTCAACTTTGTTTTATGACAACCTTCTTAAGTTGAAACCTAGCTTGCTAGGATCATACAAAAAGACAGTCCATTAAAATGACAACCCCCATTTTCTATTGTAAATTATAGGAGCACATACTTGTAATTATCTTTGGTTGTACTTTTTCTTTGTTTTTCCTTGGTTGGTTTGGCAGATATTTTAAATGTGCAAGGCAATTGAGGTGTAGAGCCTAAGACAAGGTGGGAGGGAAATGAGGAGAGTCTAAGAAGCACGGACACGGATATGGAATACATTACACGAACACAGAAACAACACAACACAAACACAGTGACAAGTCAATTTCTGAAAAATGTAGGACATGGATATGTAGAGGACTCGTTAATTTTTTAAAACGAAAGAAAGATGATATTAAAAGATCAAACCCAAAAAGTTTTTTACTAACTATTAAGATAATTAAAACAAAAAGAACCATGAATGAAAATTTAAATAGCCATTGAATTTAGTGGTGCATAAAACCCAAGAAGTTATTGCCTAGTGCCCACTAAAATTCCACAAAGACAAGAGCTAACAGCTTACTAAAAACCTAAAAACTAAATTTTATTAAAAGAACCAACAGCCCATTTAAAAGAAAAAACCCTAAATAATGTCCCCCCTTCACAACTGCCCCCTATTCTACTCTCCTCCCTCCACAGTCGTTTGGTTTGATCTCCTTCCCTTCATCGCCACATTGTCGCTGCCTCTGACCAACATCACCATTCTGACTAACATTGTCATCGAATGCCACTCTCCAATGATATTGCCAATTTGAAAGGTTTGTGTTTTGTATGTGTTTGTGTGTGTCCATCACATGTCCAAAATAAAAAAGACATGGATTTTCGTGTGTCCAGTTGTATCCATGTCCAACACAAACACTAGTAAAAAAAACAATGTGTACATGCTTCCTATGGGAAAAGAAACGGTTGTGAGGCATGGCACAAAATTTATAAATTATATTAACCTAAAATTTTGAAAGTTTAATAGGATGAAGCATGAATTAAAAAATAACCTGAATTGCTGTCTTATTTGCAAATAATAGAAGCACATGCTTGCAATCATCTTTGGTTTTACTTTTGTTTCTTTGTCCCTGGTTGAGATCGTCAGAGGGAAATGGGGAGAGGAACAGGGTTGTGATGTGTGGCACAAAATATCTAAATAATATTAACCTAACATATATAAATAGTGCCTAAATTGACTATTACACTTTGTGTCTTCTTAACAAAATTAACTTTAGGTATGAATTACTGTTCACCGATTTGTGAAATATCTGAAGTTTCTGATTTTTAAGAAAAATATCCAAATTTTCATTGTTTTCATAATTTGTTTCCAAAAATATTCATCCACCTTCCCCAAAAGCTGAATCATAGACATTGTTTATCCACGCTATAACCTTTTTTCTTGCCGAAATGTGCTGCACATAGCAGTGTATTCATACAACCTAAAGCAAAAGTAATAAACAAAGTGAAAACTTACGGAGTTCAAGCCATAACTCGAAGAATATGGATTTCCCGCATATCCAGCATCAGCATTGCCATAATTTGTACCGTACCCAGCAGCTAGACAAATTATTACCACATTCAGAGAGAACATAGAACAATGTGATCTATAGAACATATTCAAATTAACAAAATATTTTGCACAAAGCTAAACAATGTGATCTATAGGGTTTTCCTTCGGTTTCTTTGGGGCGAGAGGAAAGGCAAAATATCCTGAGAATCTTTCTTTACCTTTGATAATTTTATGAATTTAATTCTCTTTCATGCAACATCCTGGTGTAAGTGAAAACGCCATTTTTTTACTATAGTAGTTTTTCTTCGTTGATTTCTAATTGGAGAGCTTTCTTGTAATTCACCGTTAGGTTTTAGGAGTTAGGTGTTCTTAATCCATTAATTTCATTTATCAATGAAATTTTCTCCCTTCAAAAAAAGGCAACTTTTTTCCCATCATATTTTACATTCAGCTCCACACAAATAACAGCTTGCCAGGACATGAATATGGATGAGGGGGTTTAATGCAAGCCAAACACGTGTCTGCAACAATATTATATCCAGCATCAAGTTGCGGGGAAATAACATTGATGGTAGAGAGTAATTCAATTATTCAGTACGCAATGTCCAGCAGTTTCAAAATCTAATTCTATAATAGTGTCTCACTTCAACAATCAACTGTTCTTCACAGAGATTACTCAGCCATGCATTTAGATACAAGGGGGAGGCTTAGTAAATGACATGTGAATACCATGGTTAACTTCTAAATAGTACGCATCAAATTGAATTGCAACTATTCTTTTGCCTTTGTTCACATGTGAGGAGTTTCTTTAAACTATAATTTTCTTCAATATGATCTTAGATTAATACAGAGTACCTATTTGGAACTCAAAAGAATGTGCATACCAGCATTTCCAACAGCAGCAGCAGAAGCATGAGCTCTCTTCTCTGCATTAGAAACCTCAGCTCTAAGTTTCTCCAACTCCCGAGCCATTGAAACCAGTTTCTTCTCCATAACCTGACCGTGTTCATAATTCTCCGCATATCCCTTCTTTTCATACTCAATTGCAACTCTTGATATGCAAAGTATATACACGCTAATCAGAATTCCAAAATATCTAAAAAAAACACCTTATATCACCTATTGAAGTTAAGAATACCATAAAATACCTAGCACGATGTAATTCCTGCTTCACAGTTTCAATTTCTGCCTTCAAAGCGGGGACCTGCTGCAAATCTGCAGTCATTCTAGTTAGATCTTGTGACATTGCTTGTACTTGACCAGTGAGTTCCTGCCTTGCAACAGTTAATTCCTTGACATCAGAATGAACTTGAAGAAGCTCTGCTCGCATAGTCTCAACTCCTCGCAGATCAACTTCTAGTCTTACTGATTTTTCATATAATTCTCTCATCTGAATGTCCCTTTCTGCATGTAAGGAATCAGCAACATGAGCCATGCGTTGCAACTCGTGCTGGGCTGCTTCTAGTTCCTGCTTAAGGGCAACATGGGTAGCAGCTAGCCTCTGGTTGTCGAGAAGAAGAGCTTGAATATCTTGATGTTGTGCAGCAAGACGCTCCTCTATCATTGCAGGGTGTGGAGGAAGGGATCCTGGATGCATCCCATACTGTGATTCTCTGATTTCCTCAAGAAGCGCTGGATGTGGCACTGGCCCAAGGCCTCTGCCAAAATGAGGATCGCGAACAGGTGGTAGTCCACCGTGAGGCACACCATTTAGTGGGATGGTGGGTGGTCCTCGATTTCTTCCAGACATAATCTATAAAAGAAAAACAAAAAAAGAAAACGACCTAATGAAGTATCAAGAAATTAATACAACTACAAATATATAAAGTGCTCATAGACCACATGTAATCCTGAAAATCAAGCAGACAAAGTACTCAATTCTAACACCCCGAGAAAAAAAAAAAAAAAAAAAAAAAAAAAAAAAAAAAAAAAAAAAAAAAAA